CCACCATAAAGTTTTCTGTTTCCCAAACTAAAATCTGTAACAAACATAGTGGACTGAGTTTTGTAGACTTTACCCTTTGCCAAAGTCTTTTAAAAATAGCGTTAAGAAGGAGTGCAAGGGCGAATTGAATTGTTGCACACTTCACAGAGCAGGCGTTCCCTGACGGAAATATGCAAATAAATTATAGAACGCACCAATAGGATCTCACTAGCTCGTAGTTGGCTCTGCCCACCTCCTTGTTTGTTCTGCCCCCTATGATTCATTTGTTCCATTGGAAACGACAGGCTCTGGTCTATCTTGGGTTAGTTATACAAATCTTTTAAGTGTTTCACAAAATTCATAATGACGAAAAATCCATCATTGTCTTCCTTATCGATCCCTGAGACAAACGTATTCCTTGTGAGGACTGAGGAGCGGCACCTATGTAGACTACCGAATTTCATGACTTTAAGTGGGTGAGGGGCGTGACCTTTCAAAATTAGCATTTTCAATCTCTTGTCATAGCGCCACCATCTGGCCAATCAGTGTACTTTTGTAAATGACCGCAAGACGCATCATTCACCGAAGTTTCGTCAAAATCGGGCCAGTGATATCTGATATCGCGTGTGACGTACGGAAGGACGTAAACAGATCTACAGTCCCCTCCACGATTTCATCGGGACAATGAAGGACATTAATATTAGAAGTCCAATTATTCATAGTACAGACAGTATATTGAGCCTGAGCAAATATGTCAGTCAATTATATCAGCTGCACTTGACTATAAACATAGAATGCATATTGCTCAGTGTTTATACAGTATACATCATTGCACTTGACGCTGTAGTCATTGTTACAGTATTTGTAACACTATTTTGCTCTGAAGTTATGAAATATGATACTTTTCGACCGAGAAGGACTATGGGAAAGCTAGTCTATAGTATCAAGCGAGCCCTTTCTGCCCCATTCATCCACCAATGTCAAGAAACGACAATCCCCAGAAGCCATTGTATCGTTGATTTAGGCAACGTTTTTGTCGACGTGGGAAAGGGTCTGCTCAGTGCTCACACAAACAAATAAATGACCATGGATGTAGGTTGCAATAGAAATGAACATCTTGACATGCACATTGGATTCAATAAATGGATGTGAATTGAAACTGCTTCTGGAAGCTATAAACATATGTGAATTGAAATATGTGGCTTAAACCTGAAGAGATATTGCTGAAAAATGCATTCAAGTTATGGGTGACGGAAAAAGGCAACGATTATTTCGTATTACAAAGGAGGCGAGGATATGGTGAAGGAGGAGGCGGTTTGACAGGTATGTGTTCTGTTCTTTGCTGTTCTGGTAAAACCCAGTGGCACCGCAATGACTGTCTAGCAAAGTGTGCACGCCATTAGAGAAGAGCTTATATTTCCGTTATATTTTCTAATGTCCCCCAGATTATGGCATGTATAGGGGAGGGGGGCAGACAGTTCTCCAGTTGCGCGTGACAAATTGACAGCCTGAGCCTGGACTTCAAATGTTATCTTAGATTACAACAAGTACACTATACAAAAGTATGTGGACACCCCTTCAAATGAGTGGATTCGGCTATTTCAGCCACACCCGTCGTAGCTGACTGGTGTATGAAATCGAGTACACAGCCATGCAATCACAATAGACAAACATTGGCAGTATAATAGGCTTACTGAATAGCTCAGTGACTTTCAATGTGGCACCGTCATAGGATGCCACCTTTCCAACAAGTCAGTTCGTCAAATTTCTGCCATGCTAGAGCTTCCCCGGTCAACTGTAAGTGCTGTTATTGTGAAGTGGAAAGTCTAGGAGCAACAACAGCTCAGCTGCCAAGTGGTAGGCCACAGAATGGGACTGCTGAGAGCTGACGCCCGCAGCACGTAAAAATCGTCTGTCCTAGGTTGCAACACTCACTACTGATTTTCAAACTGCCTCTGGAAGCAACGTCAGCACAATAACTGTTCATTGGGAGCTTCATGAAATGGGTTTCCATGGAAGAGCAGCCACACACAAGCCTAAAATCACATTTACATTTACATTTTTAGTCATTTAGCAGACCATGCGCAATGCCAAGTGTGGCTGGAGTGGTGTAAAGCTCGCCGCCATTGGACTCTGAAGCAGTGGAAACATGTTCCCTGGGTTTGGCGGAAGCCAGGAGAACACTACCTGCCCGAATGCATAGTGCCAACTGTGAAGTTTGGGGGAGGAGGATAAATGGCCTGGGGCTGTTTTTCATGGTTCGGGCTAGGCCCCTTAGTTTCAGTGAAGGGATATCTTAATGCTACAGCGTACTATGACATTCTAGACGATTCTGTGCTTCCAACTTTGTGACAACAGTTTGGGGAAAGCCCTTCCCTGTTTCAGCATGACAATGCCCCAATGCACAAAGTGAGGTCTATATAGAAATGGTTTGTCAAGATCGGTGTGGAAGAACTTGACTGGCCTGCACAGAGCCCTGACCTCAACCCCATCGAACACCTTTGGGAATAATTGGAACGCCGATTGCGAGCCAGGCCTAATCGTCCAACATCAGTGCCCAACCTCACTAATGCTCTTGTGGCTGAATGGAAGCAAGTCGCCACAGCAATGTTCCAACATCTAGTGGAAAGCCTTCCCAGAAGAGTGAAGGTTGTTATAGCAGCAAAGGGGGGACCAACTCCATATGAATGCCCATGATTTTGGAATGAGATGTTTGACGAGCAGGTGTCCACATACTTTTGGTAATGTAGTGTATCTACAATGTAACAGTTTACAGTAGCCTACCTACGATGCAGATTTGTTATTTTGTTAACACTGACTGAGCTTCAACAAAATTGGCTCTGTTGTTTACAAACCACAGTCACAACACTTAACATCTGGGGCGTATTCATTATGCCAATTCTGTTGCAAAATGTTTCTTAAACGGAACGAAACGGGTAGGGACATACCTGAATTTGTCCAATAGAAACTCTCCTTTTAGTTGCAACGGTTTGGACTAATGATTACACCCATGTTGTTTTGGCACACACACACACACACACAATGACACGGTAGTGTGAGTGTCAAATATTGGGTTGCTGGCATTCGCTTTAGTTTATGGGTGGAGCAATAGGCTATACTGATGGCACGCAGCACTTCTGTATGAGAATGTACTGTATGTACTCAAGCATGATGCCCTAGAGGCAGAAGAGCCAGGTCAGTGCTCATCCTTTCCATAGCGTCAGTCTGGTCAACTGATTCCCTGCATTTGAAATGGGATGATCATATTCTAAATTATAAAAAATAATGTTTGTTGATCTTTGAGTTCAATACTGCCCTATTTGATAACACATTGATCCTCCTTCACCATGCAAGTCCATGCAAGTCATTCATTGTATCAATTACACCAAGAGTGAGTAGGGTACCATGTTTGCTCTTTTGCAGTCAGTGAATGTCAGCTGTCAGTTTCCCAATAATAGTAGGTTGTCTTGCACAGGGTCACACACAGGCTCCAATAAGCCAATTCTCAGCTGTTGATCACAGTTATCCGCTTGACTGAAACAGCATCGCTGACTTTCACATTTGCTCTCATCTATAATGCTAAAAATAGCAATGGCGGCCTTCTAGTCTGTTGAAGCTGACGGTGTTCCAGTGGTTATAGCCTACTAATGGTACATGTATTTGTCAATTAGATGGACACTTTTTGGAGCCCTGCAACTCAATTACTTTTTTATCCTGAAGTATTCAGATTTAAATCTCAAATGGCCAAAGGGCAGATGGCAGGTTATCCAGTGATACCTGCTCTTAATTGGGCCCTTGCAGACGGTTCTGTCAGAATGGCTACCAAACTTTCATGATGGATGATTTATGGAGGACAACAAAGTCTGTAATCGGTTCACAGCTGTCGCGTAGGCTATTGTAGTCTCATTCACCAGCCGGCTCTTGGTAGCAATTAGCCTGGGTTTGAGGTTAAGACCACTTTACAGCTGTGTCATGATGCCCCAGCCCAGCAGCCATAGATGCTGCTGATGCATTCTGGGATAGCAGTATAGGCCTAGCTCTGACCTTGTTAATAATTTATGAAGGCCACTACGGGGGTAGATAGGTAACACAACACTGTTGGTTTGAGCCACCGATAGGCAGGACACTTGAATGTGATAATAAGCAGCACAATATCCGTTGAGTTTTCGACTGTTCCATGTTACATGATAACCCAACCTAGGTGGAAGGGCTGTTTTGTTTGCTAGATACTGTAAATCAATAGGCATGAAATTGCCTCATGATTTTGAAATGTCTTATCATGGCTGTTCGACGTCTGACTGTTAATGGAAATGATTGCTACATGTTTTTGTGACAGGTCTCCTGGTTGGAACTCTGGATACAATGCTGGATTCCACGTCTAAGGTTGCTCCGTTTCGCATTCTACACCAGACACCGGAACTCCCAGGTCTACTGGTCAATAGCGTGTGGTGAGTTTTTCTATACCCTTTCTCAACTATTCCCTTCAGTCAGAACAGCCACAACACATGAAGTGTTTTACCCACTTCATATGTATATACTGTATTCTAGTCAAGGCTCATCCTAAATAACTACTGCTGTACACACCATTTCTATTCATATACTGTCCATAATGTCTATACACACCATCATATACATATATATTTATATTCCAGACTCTGACATTGTTCTAATATTTCTGTATTTCTTAATTCCTTTCTTTTAATATTTTGGGATTTGCGTGTATTGTTTTGTATTATTAGGTATTACTGCACTGTTGGAGCTAGGAAGATAAGCATTTCGCTACACCCGCGATAACATCTGGAAAAATATGTGTACACGACCAATAAAATGTCATTTGATTTTAACGTAAACATTATAGGCTATAGTCTTGTAATAACAGGCTACAATCATGTAATAATAACCTTTAGGATTGTATTTTAGTCTACACACATTTCCCATTTTGTAACAAAATAGATGGCTTAGTCATGTGTAGTGTAAACAGTTTCCTTTCAATTGTGACTAAGTTTTCCCTGTGGTTAGGTGGCACCAAGGAGGAGATCAGCCAACACTGGGAGTGGCTGGAGAAGAACATCATGAGAACCCTGTCTGTGTTTGACTCCAGTGATGACATCACCAGCTTTGTGCAGGGCAAGATCAGAGTAAGTAATCACTACAGCTTATTAAACATGTGGTTAGACACAGACATCAACATTACTATTGTTGATCTCTGCCACTCTCCCAGGAGATGGAGGCCTCCTCCAGACTTAATGATTTATTCATGTGGTGAAGCCTACTGATGATAAGTGGCAAGTGCTTACTCTTTGAAAACAGTTGGTGGTGATTGTTATTTCACTACTGCTTTATGATATGGAAACATTTTACTGTTTGTTGAAAGCTAAGCAAAGGATAGTAGGTTTGTAATAACAATATGAATTTAAGAAACCATATTATGCTAATCTATATGCCTTGATACAGTTGAAGTCGGAAGTTTACATACACCTTAGCCAAATACATTTAAACTCAGTTTTTCACAATTCCTGACATTTAATCCTAGTAAAAATTCCCTGTATTAGGTCAGTTAGGATCACCACTTTATTTTAAGAATGTGAAATGTCAGAATAATAGTAGAGAGAATGATTTATTTCAGCTTTTATTTATTTCATCACATTCCCAGTTGGTCAGAAGTTTACATGCACTCAATTAGTATTTGGTGGCATTGCCTTTAAATTGTTTAACTTGGGTCAAACGTTTCGGGTAGCCTTCCACAAGCTTCCCACAATAAGTTGGGTGAATTTTGGCCCATTCCTCCTGACAGAGCTGGTGTAACTGAGACAGGTTTGTAGGCCTCCTTGCTCGCACACACTTTTTCAGTTCTGGCCACACATTTTCTATAGGATTGAGGTCAGGGCTTTGTGATGGCCACTCCAATACCTTGACTTTGTTGTCCTTAAGCCATTTTTGCTACAACTTTGGAAGTATGCTTGGGGTCATTTTCCATTTGGAAGACTCATTTGAGACCAAGCTTTAACTTCCTGACTGATGTCTTGAGATTTTGCTTCAATATATCCACATAATTTTACTTCCTCAGGATGCCATCCATTTTGTGAAGTGCACCAGTCCCTCCTGCAGCAAAGCACCCCCACAGCATAATGCTGCCACCCCCATGCTTCACGGTTGGGATGGTGTTCTTCAGCTTGCAAGATACCCCCTTTTTCCTCCAAACATAACGATGGTCATCATGGCCAAACAGTTATATTTTTTTTCATCAGACCAGAGGACATTTCTCCAAAAAGTATGATCTTTGTCCCCATGATGTGCAGTTGCAAACCGTAGTCTGTCTTTTTTATGGCGGTTTTGGAGCAGTGGCTTCTTCCTTGCTGAGAGGCCTTTCAGGTTATGTCGATATAGGACTCGTTTTACTGTGGATATAGATACTTTTGTACCTTTTTCCTCCAGCATCTTCACAAGGTCCTTTGCTGCTGTTCTGGGATTGATTTGCACTTTTCGCACCAAAGTACGTTCATCTCAAGGAGACAGAACGAGTCTCCTTCCTGAGCGGTATGACGGCTGCGTGGTCTCATGGTGTTTATACTTGCGTACTATTGTTTGTACAGATGAATGTGGTACCTTCAGGCGTTTGGAAATTGCTCCCAAGAATGAACCAGAGTTGTAGAGGTCTCCAATTTTTTTTCTGAGGTCTTGGGTGATTTCTGTTAATTTTCCCATGTTGTCAAGCAAAGAGGCACTGAGTTTGAAGGTAGGCCTTGAAATACAACAGGTACACCTCCAATTGACTCAAATGATGTCAATTAGCCTATCAAATCAAATCAAATCAAATTGTATTTGCCAGATGCGCCGAATACAACAGGTGTAGACATTACAGTGAAATGCTTACTTACAGCCCTTAACTAACAATGCATTTGGTAAAATAAAACAACAACAAAAAAGTGTTGAGAAGAAAAGAGCAGAAGTAAAATAAAATAACAGTAGGGAGGCTATATACAGGGGGGTACCGGTGCAGAGTCAATGTGCGGTGGCACCGGCTAGTTGAGGTAATATGTACATGTGGGTAGAGTTAAAGTGACTATGCATAAATAATTAACAGAGTAGCAGCAGCGTAAAAAGATGGGGTGGGGGGGCAGTGCAAGTCGTCTGGGTAGCCATGATTAGCTGTTCAGGAGTCTTATGGCTTGGGGGTAGAAGCTGTTGAGAAGCCTTTTGGACCTAGACTTGGCGCTCCGGTACCGCTTGCTGTGCGGTAGCAGAGAGAACAGTCTATGACTAGGGTGTCTGGAGTCTTTGACAATTTTGAGGGCCTTCCTCTGACACCGCCTGGTATAGAGGTCCTGGATGGCAGGAAGCTTGGCCCCAGTGTTGTACTGGGCCGTACGCACTACCCTCTGTAGTGCCTTGCGGTCGGAGGCCAAGCAGTTGCCATACCAGGCGGTGATGCAACCAGTCAGGATGCTCTCGATGGTGCAGCTGTAGAACCTTTTGAGGATCTGAGGACCCATGCCAAATCTTTTCAGTCTTCTGAGGGGGAATAGGCTTTGTCGTGCCCTCTTCACGACTGTCTTGGTGTGTTTGGACCATGATAGTTCGTTGGTGATGTGGACACCAAGGAACTTGAAGCTCTCAACCTGTTCCACTACAGCCCCGTCGATGAGAATGGGGGCGTGCTCAGTCCTCTTTTTTTCCTGTTGTCCACAATCATCTCCTTTGTCTTGGTCACGTTGAGGGAGAGGTTGTTATCCTGGTACCACACGGCCAGGTCTCTGACCTCCTCCCTTAGGCTGTCTCATCGTTGTCGGTGATCAGGCCTACCACTGTTGTGTCGTCGGCAAACTTAATGATGTTGTTGGAGTCGTGCCTGGCCATGCAGTCATGCCTGAACAGGGAGTACAGGAGGGGACTGAGCACGCACCCCTGAGGGGCCCCCGTGTTGAGGATCAGCGTGGCAGATGTGTTGTTACCTAGCCTTACCACCTGGGGGTGGCCCGTCAGGAAGTCCAGGATCCAGTTGCAGAGGGAGGTGTTTAGTCTCAGGATCCTTAGCTTAGTGATGAGCTTTGAGGGTACTATGGTGTTGAACGCTGAGCTGTAGTCAATGAATAGCATTCTCACATACAGTGGGGGAAAAAAGTATTTAGTCAGCCACCAATTGTGCAAGTTCTCCACTTAAAAAGATGAGAGAGGCCTGTAATTTTCACCATAGGTACACGTCAACTATGACAGACAAAATGAGAAAAAAAAATCCAGAAAATCACATTGTAAGATTTTTAATGAATTTATTTGCAAATTATGGTGGAAAATAAGTATTTGGTCAATAACAAAAGTTTCTCAATACTTTGTTATATACCCTTTGTTGGCAATGACACAGGTCAAACGTTTTCTGTAAGTCTTCACAAGGTTTTCACACACTGTTGCTGGTATTTTGGCCCATTCCTCCATGCAGATCTCCTCTAGAGCAGTGATGTTTTGGGGCTGTCGCTAGGCAACACAGACTTTCAACTCCCTCCAAAGATTTTCTATGGGGTTGAGATCTGGAGACTGGCTAGGCCACTCCAGGACCTTGAAATGCTTCTTACGAAGCCACTCCTTTGTTGCCCGGGCGGTGTGTTTGGGATCATTGTCGTGCTGAAAGACACAGCCACGTTTCATCTTCAATGCCCTTGCTGATGGAAGGAGGTTTTCACTCAAAATCTCACGATACATGGCCCCATTCATTCTTTCCTTTACACGGATCAGTCGTCCTGGTCCCTTTGCAGAAAAACAGCCCCAAAGCATGATGTTTCCACCCCCATGCTTCACAGTAGGTATGGTATTCTTTGGATGCAACTCAGCATTCTTTGTCCTCCAAACACGACGAGTTGAGTTTTTACCAAAAAGTTATATTTTGGTTTCATCTGACCATATGACATTCTCCCAATCCTCTTCTGGATCATCCAAATACACTCTAGCAAACTTCAGACGGGCCTGGACATGTACTGGCTTAAGCAGGGGGACACGTCTGGCACTGCAGGATTTGAGTCCCTGGCGGCGTAGTGTGTTACTGATGATAGGCTTTGTTACTTTGGTCCCAGCTCTCTGCAGGTCATTCACTAGGTCCCCCCGTGTGGTTCTGGGATTTTTGCTCACCGTTCTTGTGATAATTTTGACCCCACGGGGTGAGATCTTGCGTGGAGCCCCAGATCGAGGGAGATTATCAGTGGTCTTGTATGTCTTCCATTTCCTAATAATTGCTCCCAAAGTTGATTTCTTCAAACCAAGCTGCTTACCTATTGCAGATTCAGTCTTCCCAGCCTGGTGCAGGTCTACAATTTTGTTTCTGGTGTCCTTTGACAGCTCTTTGGTCTTGGCCATAGTGGAATTTGGAGTGTGACTGTTTGAGGTTGTGGACAGGTGTCTTTTATACTGATAACAAGTTCAAACAGGTGCCATTAATACAGTTAACGAGTGGAGGACAGAGGAGCCTCTTAAAGAAGAAGTTACAGGTCTGTGAGAGCCAGAAATCTTGCTTGTTTGTAGGTGACCAAATACTTATTTTCCACCATAATTTGCAAATAAATTCATTAAAAATCCTACAATGTGATTTTCTGGAGAAAAAAAATCTACCTCTTGTCCAGGTGGGAAAGGGCAGTGTGGAGTGCAATAGAGATTGGGGTGGTATGCAAATTGGAGTGGGTCTAGGGTTTCTGGGATAATGGTGTTGATGTGAGCCATGACCAGCCTTTCAAAGCACTTCATGGCTACAGACGTCAGTGCTACGGGTCGGTAGTCATTTAGGCAGGTTATCTTAGTGTCCTTGGGCACGGGGACTATGGTGGTCTGCTTGAAACATGTTGGTATTACAGACTCAGTTAGGGACATGTTGAAAATGTCAGTGAAGACACTTGCTAGTTGGACAGCACATGCTCGGAGTACACGTCCTGGTAATCCGTCTGGCCCTGCGGCCTTGTGAATGTTGACCTGCTTAAAAGTCTTACTCACATCGGCTACGGAGAGCGTGATCACATAGTCATCCGGATCAGCTGGTGCTCTCATGCATGCTTCAGTGTTGCTTGCCTCGACGCGAGCATAGAAGTGGTTTAGCTCGTCTGGTAGGCTTGTGTCACTGGGCAGCTTGCGGCTGTGCTTCCCTTTGTAGTCAGTAATAGTTTTCAAGCCTGCCACATCCAACGAGCGTCAAAGCCGGTGTAGTTCGATTCAATCTTAGTCCTATATTGACTCTTTGCCTGTTTGATGGGTCGTCGGAGGGCATAGTGAGATTTCTTATAAGCGTCCGGGTTAGAGTCCCGCTCCTTGAAAGCGGCAGCTCTACCCTTTAGCTCAGTGCGGATGTTGCCTGTAATCCATGGCTTCTGGTTGGGGTATGTACGTACGGTCACTGTGGGGACGATGCACTTATTGATGAAGCCAGTGACTGATGTGGTGTACTCCTCAATGCTATCTGAAGAATGCCGGACCATGTTCCAGTCTGTGCTAGCAAAACAGTCCTGTAGCTTAGCATCTGCGTCACCTGACCACTGTTTTATTAACCGAGTCACTGGTGCTATCAGAAGCTTCTAAATCCATGACATCATTTTCTGGAATTTTCCCAGCTGTTTAAAGGCACAGTCAACTTTGTGTATGTAAGCTTCTGACCCACTTGAATTGTGATACAGTGAATTATAAGTGAAATAATCTGTGTAAACAATTGTTGGAAAAATTACTTGTGTCATGCACAAAGTAGATGTCCTAACCGACTTGCCAAAACGATAGTTTGTTAACAAGACATTTGTGGAGTGGTTGAAAAACGAGTTTTAATGACTCCAACCTAAGTGTATGTAAACTTCCGACTTCAAATCAAATTTTATTTGTCACATACACGTGTTTAGCAGATGTTATAGCGGGTGTAGTGAAATGCTTGTGCTTCTAGCTCCGACAGTGCAGTAATATCTAACAAGTAATAGCTAACAATTTCACAACATATACCTAATACACACAAAACTAGTAAGGAATGCAATTTAAGAAAATATACATATATGGACAAGCAATGACAGAGCGGCATGGACTAAGGTACAGTAGAATATTATAGAATAGAATGCAGGATATACATATGAGATGAGTAGTGCAAGAGATGTAAACATAATTAAAGTGACTGTAAACAATATTAAGTGACTAGTGTTCCATTTCTTAAAGTGGCCAGTGATTTCAATAGGCAGCAGCAGCCTCTAATGTGCTAGTGATGGCTATTTAACAGTCTGATGGCCTTGAGATAGAAGCTGTTTTTCATTCTCTCGGTCCCAGCTTGGTCCCAGCTCCCTGTACGGAGATGGCATGCTGACTTGTTTAGACTGCTCAATTATATTAGCTATCTCAGTGGCCATTAGAGGGATGTTGACCTCCTCTCCTTTCTATAAAGGGTCTGATTGCTGAGGAAGGAAAGGTGTCATGCGTGCAGGAGGATGACCCTGAGAAGTTCCGTGAGGCGCTGCTGAGGTTTGAGAAATGGTTTGACCTCCCTCAGAAGGAGAAGCTGGTCACCTACTACTCCTGCAGCTACTGGAGGGGCCGCGTGCCATGCCAGGGCTGGCTGTACCTCAGCACCAACTTCCTCTCTTTCTACTCCTACCTACTTGGCTCCGAGGGTGAGATGAGAGACCGAGACCTCAGCAACCCCTTACTGTTGGCTAACTGACACTACATTTTCACTTATACATTGTATTTGGATACAATATTATTATCATTCCATGTCATGACAGAATGGCAGTGAGTTACTCATTTAAGATAATCTGTTTCCTTTTCAGTGAAGCTGGTTATCTCCTGGAATGAGATCTGGAGGCTGGAGAAAACGTCCAATGTCATCCTGACGGAGAGCATCCATGTGTTGGCCAATGGGGAGGACCACTTCTTCTCCATGTTCCTTCATTTCAATGAGACCTTCCTGATCATGGAGCAGCTGGCTGACTACTCCATCAAACGCCTGTTTGATAAGGAGACTTTCCAGGAAGAGCCCTCCCTCTCAGACCCTCTGCAGATCACCAAGAGGTACTGTACTGTACTGACGGACTGTCACTGCACTCTTCCACATAACTGCTATTTGACAGTTAATTCAGGGCACCATGGTGAACTGAGATGACAGTCATAATTCTGTTTAGTTCTTCCATGCTCTCCTCAGTTACTTTCCTCTCTTCCAGAGGCTTAGAAACGCACGCTAGGAACGAGCAGTTCCGGGCCTTCTTCAGGCTGCCTAAAGAGGAGAACCTGCTGGAGGTGTATGAGAGCTTCCTGTGGGTGCCCTTCAGCCACTTCAACACTCTGGGGAAGATCTGTCTTTCCGAGAGCTACCTGTGTTTCGCCAGCCAGGATGGCAGCCAGTGCCACGTCATCATCCCCATGAGAGAGGCAAGACACTTCCATGAAACATAACTAATTACTGATTGCATATGTTCTGTTGCTCAGTGGTTTGTCCAGTGTTGTTGAAACCAACTCCTATCTTTACAGGTGATTGGTGTGGAGAAGCCGGACCGTAGCAGCAGGGCTTTGACTGTTTGTGTGCGGGGTAAGAGGGCTCTACGGTTCTCTGAAATCCGAGACTTTGAGCGCCTCGCAAATGCAATCCGCAGGAGGTGTGGGATGACGGCCAGTCCTCAGCACTCTGCCACAACTGAGGTAACTAACTGTTTTGACCTTGTAATCATCTTCCTGCTTCCTTCTGCTAGGTGTCTTGAAGTTTGCCATCAACCTTCCAACTGTCTCTAATTCACCTCCTTATCTGCCAGGCTATAATTGCTGCCGTTGAAAACAAACAGAACTGTGTGTTCACTGTGCCTTGCAGGTCATCAGAGGGGAGTGCCAGAACCTCATCAATCATTTTGAGGACAACCCAGAGGAGGTGGCTTTGATGGTGGGACAGAAGGACAGTAGCAAGGCTGTCAGCACTGAGGCCCTCATGACCGTGTTCCATCCCCAGGACACCGAAAACCTGGACCCCAAAATGGTGGATATAAGTGGGATTTTTCTCTAAAATATTACTTTCTCTCATAGTATGAAGAAATATATAAAACATTTACAAAAATATTATCGCAACATGTAAAGTGTTGGTCCCATGTTTCATGAGCTGAAATAAAACATCTCAGAAAGGTTCCATATACACAAAAAGCGTATTTCTCTCAAATGTTGTTTACAAATTTATTTACATCCCTGTTAGTGAGCATTTCTCCTTTGCCAAAATAATCCATCCACCTGACAGGTGTGGCATATTAAGAAGCTGATTAAACAGCATGATCATTACACAGGTGCACCTTGTGCTGGGAACAATAAAAGGCCACAAAATTGTGCAGTTTTGTCACACAACACAATGCCACAGATGTCTCAAGTTTTGAGGGAGCCTGCAATTGGCATGTTGACTGCAGGAATGTCCACCAGAGCTGTTGCTAGAGAATTTAATGTTCATTTCTCTACCATAAACCGCCTCCAACGTCGTTTTAGAAAATTTGGCAGTACGTCCAACCGGCCTCACAACCACAGACCACATGTATGGCGTCCTGTGGGCGAGCGGTTTGCTGATGTCAGCATTGTAAACAGAGTGCCCCATGATGGCGGTGGGGTTATGGTATGGGCAGGCATAAACTACAGACAACGTAGCTTATGCCCATTGTCGTGCCATTCATCCGCCACCATCACCTCATGTTTCAGCATGATAATACACAGCACTGTGTCGCAAGGATATGTACACAACTCCTGGAAGCTGAAAATGTTCCAGTTTTTCCATGGCCTGCATACTCACCAGACATGTCACCTGTTGAGCATGTTTGGGATGCTCTGGATTGACGTGTACGACAGTGTGTTCCAGTTCCCGCTGATATCCATCAACTTCGCACAGCCATTGAAGAGGAGTGGGACAACGTTCCACAGGCTACAATCTACAGTCTGATCAACTTTATGCGAAGGAGATGTGTCGCGCTGCATGAAGCAAATGGTGGTCACACCAGATACTGATTGGTTTTCTGATCCACGCCCCTACTTTAGGTATCTGTGACCAACAGATGCATATCTGTATTCCCCGTCATGTGAAATCCATAGATTAGGGCCTATTGAATTTATTTCAATTGACTGATTTCCTTATAAGAACTGTAGTAACTGAGTAAAATCGTATAAATTGTTGCATGTTGCGTTTATATTTTTGTTCAGTATAGTTTCTCTAGGAGGACAGTTTTTTCCCAGTGTGAGAATGTGCAGAGCATGATAGTAGGGTGGAGTAGGTGCTCTCCCTGTACTGTAGATGTGTCCCAGCCTTGACAGCTCATTTTTTATTCCCCTGTTCATTCTCTGTGCCTGACAGCTGAAGGAGAAGATGAAGGAGCAGTCATGGAACATTCACTTCTCAGAGTATGGCCGTGGCACCAGTATGTTCTGTACCAAGAAGACACGAGACCTGATTGTGCGTGGCGTCCCTGAGGCCTTAAGAGGAGAGCTCTGGATGCTTTTCTCAGGTACTGTTTGATATGGCTCATTAACTGTTATATGGCGCATATGTCTCATTTTCTGATCTGTAAAAGTGTGGTGTCTTTAATGTTTAATGCAGTAGGTAGCTATATGTGTTTTGTTAAATATGGTGTAGGGTGTTTTGCCTTTGTACAATAGGTGCAGTCAACGACATGGCCACTAACCCGGGGTACTACAGTGAGCTGGTGGATCAGTCTCTGGGCACCAGCACCCTGGCCACTGACGAGATAGAGAGAGACCTGCACCGCTCCCTACCAGAGCACCCTGCCTTCCAGAGCGACACAGGCATCTCTGCCCTGCGCAGAGTCCTCACCGCATACGCCTACAGGAACCCCAAAATCGGCTATTGCCAGGTACCAAGCTAAAACCCCCTATAACACTTTCTTAAATGTTTTATTTCAAAAAGCTAATGGGCACCTTTACATCTCTCGTGCTTTTTTTCTTGTGAAGGCCATGAACATCCTGACGTCGGTCCTGTTGCTCTATGCAAAAGAGGAGGAGGCTTTCTGGCTGCTAGTGGCCGTCTGTGAGAGGATGCTGCCTGACTACTTCAACCGCAGGATCATCGGTGAGTGACGCAGCTGAATAACATTGTCATTTTTAGTTGTAGCATCACATTAGATATATGTACTGTATGTGTGTTTGAAACTGAACTACACTTTCCCCCTTAACTGCTAAAAATCCTGTTTACAAACTTGTGTTTCCTCAGGTGCCCTGGTGGACCAGGCAGTGTTTGAGGAGCTGATCCGAATGCACCTCACCCAGCTGACGGAGCACATGACAGACCTGACCTTCTTCTCCTCCGTGTCCCTGTCCTGGTTCCTCACCCTGTTTATCAGCGTCCTGCCCATAGAGAGCGCTGTCAACGTGGTCGACTGCTTCTTCTACGACGGCATCAAAGCCATCCTGCAGCTGGGCCTGGCTGTGCTCGACTACAACATGGAGGGCCTGATCAGCTCCCATGACGACGCTGAGGCAGTCACCATCCTCAACAAGTGAGTGTCAACACAGAGAGGGCGGGGTCTGAAGGTCAACTGAATTGGTTATTTCAAAGTACTGTATTAGGTTTATGATGGATTGTGAAGCAACATAATCTCCAAAACAATGAGTAAATTCTACAGGAATGTCCATCTAATTCAGGTTACTTAACTGCTGCTCTGTTTGCCCTGGCAGGTTTTTCGATAATGTGACAAATAAGGACAGTCCTCTACCACAAACAGTGCAGCAAAACTCAGTGGGGAACAATGACAACGCATCATCCATCTCCAAGGTGGACGTCAGTGATCTCATCAAAGAAGCCTATGAGGTACTGTAACAGTCAGAGCTGCTAGGACTCACCCCATGTCTCAATGTCAGGCTTGTCATTGATTTAACTTTTTGAATTTGCTTACAGAAATATGGAGACATGAAATCAGAGGAAGTAGAGCGCATGCGGAAAAGAAACAAACTATATGTAATCCATATGTTAGAGGATACGACCAAGCAAAATGTGGTGAGTGGCTCATCCCCAAACTTCCATAGCAACCTTTTGGCATTATTTACTACAATTTGATGTAGGATTATTTGAGATGTACTTTTTTCTCAGCTACGGGTAGTGTCACAAGAAGTAAAGTTCAGTGCTTCCCAGCTTGATGAATTTTATGTATTGTTCAAGGTGGGTGCAATATCTCAATCACTCTTTTCAAATAATAATATTCCACTGCATACCTACATGCATTAATATTCCTTCTCATAGACACAGAGTTGACATGACTGGCATGAAAAATTGAAATATGTTGAAAATAGACACAAAGTTAACCGTTGGAGATTGAATACTTCAATGTGTTTCCAGAGGCAACATTTCCTCAGCTGCTACTGGACTATGAACAGCCCAGTGCTGCTGCACCACGACCCCAGCCTGGCCTATCTGGAGCAGTACCAGCTGGGCTTCCATCAGTTCAGCCTACTCTTCTCCCTCCTGGAGCCCTGGTCCCTCTGCAGCGGCAAGGATGCCCTCTTCCTCTGGGCCTTCCGCCTGCTGGATGAGAACCAGGATGGCCTCATCAACTTCAAAGAGTTCTGCTGTGCCCTGGGTAAGGTTACACCAGCGCTCTGATGTATAGCTACAGGTCTATGAACGCTGCTCCCACCCTCCGCTTCTACCATTATCTGTGGGAACTGTATGTCACATCTAATCCAGCATCAACATCATGCGACCTTTCATGCTAATTTACCCCCTCCCTATTTTGTTCTTACAACAGATATTTTGTACAGCGGCACTTTCACCAACAAACTGAAATTCCTGTTCAAGCTTCATCAGCCACCAGGTAAGTAAGATTACCAACAACTGCATCAGCACCTTCTCTATTAACCACTTGTCATTCTATGTCTTTGATACTTTTGTTCTGTATTCCTTCTCCAGTGCCTTTAGAAAGTATTCATACCCCTTGACTTATTCCACATTTTGTTGTGTTACAGTCTGAATTCAAAATTAATTCAATGTTTTTTCTCACCCATCGACACACAATAACTCATAATGACAGTGAAAACATGTTTCTAGACATTTTTGCACATTTCTAGAAAATAAATAATTTACATAATTTTTCACACCCCTGAGTCAATAGAAGGACCTTTTGCAGTGATTACAGCTGTCTTTCTGGGTAAGTCTCTAAGAGCTTTCCACACCTGGATTCTGCAACAATTGCCCTTTTAATTTTTTAAAGCTCTGTCAAATTGGTTGTTGATCATTGCTAGACAACCATTTGCAGGTCTTGCCATAGATTTTCAAGTAGATTTAAGTAAAAAACTGTAACTCAGCCACTCAGGAACATTCAGTCTTCTTGGTAAGCAACTCCTCTTGTGTTTTAGGTTATTGTCCTGCTGAAAGGTGAATTAATCTCCTAGTGTCTGGTGGAAAGCAGACTGAACCAGCTTTTTCTCTAGGATTTTGCCTGTGCTTAGCCGTTTCTTTTTTATCCAGAAAAACTCCCTAGTCCTTAACGATTACAAGCATACCCATAACATGATGCAGCCACCACTATGCTTGAAAATATGGAGAGTGGTACTCAGTAATGTGTTGTATTGGATTTGCCCCAAACATAACACTTTGTATTCAGAACAAAAAGTTAATTGCTTTTCCACATTTTTTGCAGTATTACTTTAGTGCCTTGTTGCAAACAGGATGAATGTTTTTGGAATATTTGTATTCTGGACAAGCTTCCTTCTTTTCACTCTGTCAATTAGGTTAGTATTGTGGTGTAACTACAATGTTGTTGATCCATCCTCATTTTTCTCCTATCACAGCCATTAAACTGTTTTAAAGTCACCTTATTTAGGCTTATTTAGGCTTGCAATAACAAAGGGGTTGAATACTTATTGTCTCAAGACATTTAGCCTTTTCATTTTGTATTAATTTGTAAACATTTCTAAAAACATAATTCCACTTTGACATTATGGGGTATTGTGTGTAGGCCAGTGACCAAAAATCTCAATTTAATTCATTTTAAATTCAGGCTGTAAAACAACACATTTTGGAAAAAGTCAAGGGGTGTGAATACTTTCTGAAGCCACTGTATAATAAGAAACAAATCTGACTTTCCAATTTCAACTGTACTGTATATTTTGTGCTACTCTTCTACTCACCAACTAATCTCTTTTTTAACTGTTCCTTACATCTGTCCGTACTGTAATGTTGCATGATCTCACAGAGAATGTCTTCTTCCAGCTTTCACAGGTAGTCCTTTCCAATCAAAGGCCCAAAGATTGCCTCACTTTATTCCAATGACTGACGACCTATCCCACTTGAGTCGATTGACTGGTCAGCTTGCTTTGCTCTTTTCTTTCTCTGCTATAACCATTTCACTCTAGGCCTCTGTTCTTTTCTCTTTGGTAGATGCTCATCTGTCTGTCTTTAACAATGTCTTAAATTTGTCTCTTTTGTTGTGTACAATTTGTTTTACCAACGGTCCCCCGCCCACTTCACTTCATTCATTGAAAATGAAATGTCTTCTGTTGTTTTGTCGCCCCCAATGTGCTATATGGATCTTTTGTGCTATATATCACACACGCACAGCATACAGAGCCTAGTTTGAGGAGCCGAATAGCCTATCACCTGTCAGACAGCGCGAGAGCTGCTCCTCCAAAAGTGGTACTGGAATGAAACGTGCTTTTATAAGCCCAGTCATTACGCAACAAATAGCTTAACAGTTCTAGATGCATTCACGTGTTAACTGTTTTGAAGCCTCCTGAGTGGCGCAGCGGTCTAAGGCACTGCATCGCAGTGCTTGAGGCGTCACTACAGACCCTGGTTTGATCCCAGGCTGTGTCACAACCGGCAGTGACCGGGAGTCCCATAGGGCGCCGCACAATTGGTCCAGCGTCGTTCGGGTTAGGGGAGGGTTTGGCCGGGGGGGCTGTACTCGGCTCATCGCGCTCTAGCGACTCCTTGTGGCGGGCCGGGCGCCTGCAGGCTGACTTCGGTCATCAGTTGAACGGTGTTTCCTCCGACACATTGGTGCGGGTGTTAAGGAGCGCGGTTTGGCGGGTCATGTTTCGGAGGACCTTCGCCTCTCCCGAGCCCGTTGGGGAGTTGCAGTGATGAGACAAGATCGTAATTGGATATGACGAAATTGTGGGGTAAAAAAATAACTTTTGATGGCCACGATTTAAAAATAGCTACTATTTCTCAATCTCAACTCAGAATTAAAGCACGCCTCCCATTCGCCATTCGAGTGCATAGGCTATAGTCAACAGTAGGCAGGCTATCAGCGTGTCACCCTGAACTTTACAATGTGAGCTTGAGGCATTATAATTGTTTGAAACATGAACGTTTTACTTTACTACAGATAATGAGGAATGTCTTACCTTGCTTCACAGTAGCCTAGCCAAATTCCAACCATAGAAATGTGGAGGCAATTCTTTTAGAAAGACTTCCTCATGCCATTAACCAGCATTTGTTCTATTGGTATTTATATTTAGTTGTCCAGAAGCCAAAGTCACAATCCTAGTCATATTAACAACCCATCGTAGTTGTTGCTATTAGATTGCCCCCTTTTCTACGTTTCTAACTGAGATTTTCATCTCTGTCACATATGGAACCGCTCGCATTAGGTGCGCTGTTTAGAACAGTGTTTTGTCGCTAATTGCATTTTGGCAAATGTTTTACTAGCTGCTTCATTACACCAGTTGCATGTTCAATAATAGCCTATTTCCTTTTGACTGTAAGACATAGGCTTGCTATTTTTGCATGTTTTCATTAAGCTTTTAATGAAAAATGACCGTTCCTATGTATGCATAGTATTTTCTGTTGGTCACGTCACGTTTCGAAAACACTTTACCGTTTGTTGACTGGATAATGAGGTTGGTTAGTCGGCAGCAAAACTTACCAAAATGTGCATCCCTACTAGTACCATCTAGATATGTGTCCTTGTAGACAAGGTTTATATATGATATAATTGCAAAATGTACTTTACAGTTACTGTATGACTTCCTCTGACTTATGTGAATGTACTCCATTCTTACTATGTAGTGTCCGATCTTCCAGAAGATGGCGTGATCAGAAAAAGCCCTGAAAGAGGTAATTTAATTGGCCTGTCTCTTTTTCTCTTTTACCAAGCTTCACAATGTTGCTAATTTGAACAGAATGTCCTTCTACACATGACCCATTTGTGTCTGAACTCTGCACTTTCTGTTTCACTCCCACAGGCAGAGGGAAAGTGGATCTGCAGGCCTACCTGAAACAATGGCAAGATGAGATACTAAAGAAAGAGGAGAGCATTAAGGATTTACCCAGAATTAACCAGGTGAATACACCACTATCTAGGTTAACATGTAGTCAATTAGGTGAATATGAAATGCAGTTATCTTTTGAACAGATCAGCTTTGAACAATTGAATCCACATGTTATGTCATTCCTCTATGCTAAAAGAAACAAAGAAAAAATCTAAAAATGTAATCTATCCCTTTTCTTTTCTGGTTGTCAGGCTCAGTTTATCCAGTTCTCCAAAACGCTCTACAACCTGTTCCATGGTGACCCAGAGGAAGAGTCTCTGTACCGTGCTGTGGCTCGAGTCACCAGTCTTCTGCTGAGGATGGAAGAAGTAGGGCGCAGGCTCCAGGAGCCCACCAGTCTTCAGAAATCCAGCATTAGCCCCATCCAGGCTGCCATAGAGGGGGCTCTACCCAACGGGGAGGCTTCCAGCACCCCTGAGAGCAGCTCAGACACCCCTAGCACTCCTATCCCACAGGAGGTTGAGTGGTCGTTCGCTTTTGAGCAGATCCTGGCATCCCTGCTCAACGAGCCTGTCCTTGTGCACTTCTTTGAGAGGCCTGTAGATATTCAGGGCAGGCTGGACCATGCCAAGAGTGCTCAGTTGAATGCCAAGACAAACAAGTGAAGGATACACTGTGGGTTTAACCCTCTTATCAAAGCCATTAAGTCTATGTTCACTGTCCTCTCTATTTTCAACTGTTATTTCTCCGCCTGGTAAGGTAACAGGAAAGGATCCTAAGCCAACCCTGTTCACTGTAACCAAACGTAGGAATACACTCGTAGAGAAAGCATTCACACCTTCTAACGCCTATAAATTCCAGTTGTATCTTGTAGATTCATAGTTTCAGTCCTGTCATCTGCACACCAGCGAACCTGCTCAAGCATGTTATTGTATCTCTGGGTTTACTTTGTAATGAAGGGATGTGGCCAATTTATTTGTGGTCATTTTATGGAGGGGGGGCTTTTGAAAACAATGGGACCACTACTTACTAAAGGCCCAAGAGAGCGCTGATAGCTGGAATGCTACATTTCAGTTTTTTTATAACATATCTTACGTTTTTGCCTTCAAAATTTGTTTTGTTGAAATATCATGAGTGAGGGAACAAGAGCATGTTGTCATTGCCAAGTCCAATCACTTTCAGGACAAACTAAAAACAAATTGTATAGTTGCTGTTGAGGCAACCACAAATGAGGACATTGTACAATATTTACATTCTAACTACTGTCTGAGTCTAAGGGAAATTAAGTTAATGTATATATAATTTGATATACAGAAGAATATACATAAATGTCTTATATTATATTATCTTGTTTGATATTGTACATTTAATTGAGTTGCAAAGGGTCAGATGTTATATTCATAATGTTTTGTTACAGGAAATTATTGTTATGTTTGATTATATTTGTGAGACTGCAGATAAAATAATTTCACGTCCTTTTTTAAAATGCTGTAAAGCATGAAAGGGTGCATGGGCATGGATAAATTATGACAATAACTAATTATTCCAAATGCAACACGGTTGGTTCTGAATGTGTTACTTTATTTCTAGGTTTGACGTGGTAGACTGTAAAATGCAGGATTTTAGTCAAAGATGTTGATTGAAAAAAAGCTGCTTCAATGTCCTTTGTGTAGTATAGATATTTCTATTTTACATGAGCAGTTATAAATATTTATTTTCAAAATGAGTGTCAGGAAAAGGACAGCTGAGCAACTTTGACATGGTTTATATTTTAATATATTTGAGCGTTCTTCCTCAGTGCCATCTGTGTGTAAAATCAAATCTTGCAGTTATATTATAGTCCTCAAATGCTATTCCTTGTTATAATAGATGCTAAGGTTAATATAAATGTCACTTTAAAGCATTTACTTGACAGCACAATATCATAAAATATGGTGGATATGTAGCTACTCTGCAGTTTTTTTTCTTCAATATAGTAAAGTCATGAGTCCATATTCATGGGAGAACAAGTGTTAGTTTGAAATTAGCAGTTTACTCTTTACATTGCATTAGTAGTGAGTCTTGAGTGAGAAGTTACATTTACCTGTGAACAAGTCAACTAAATGAAAGTCTTAAAATATTTGCAGGGAGATTGCCATTCGAAATGCCACAGTTCTCAATTTCTCAAGATAGATTGTTGTGGACTACACTCACATTTAGAAATAGAGACATTGTCTATGGGCTTTATTAGTTATGCACTAGACATCTGAAGTCAGATCTTTATCAACTTGATGCAATACATAGGATAATGGTGTATTTATTACCAGTGAAACTATATTACGTTACCTTTTATTTCACCTTTAAGCTGTTTACGCTTTAAGATGACTCATAGCACAAATGTATTTAGGCCTACTTAAGATAAATTGTAACTATAATGGCTTTGTTTTCAATTAATGGTCTTAATTACAATACTCTCATTTAAAACACGTTTATATGGTGACTGTCTACAGTCTGTGTACTGCCTGTTTTTGTGGGGGTGTTTTCTGGAGGAAATGAATCCTTTGGAATGTTATGAAGTTTTTGATCTGCCTGTGCCTACCACAAGTGACACTTTATGTGAATGTCAAACGTCTTGAAATGAAATAAAATGTTACAATGTAATACAATTATCAGAGTTTGTCTGTCTTAGACATCAAATATGTTTATTTGAATGAATGAGTTGTTTTGCAAATAGGCCAAGTGAATGAACAGAACAGCCAGGATAGATTTGAACCACTTCAGGTCATAGTAGGCCAGGGGTAGGAAACCCTGTTCCTGGAGTACTGCAGGATTGTGTTCCAACTAGGCACCACACCCACCCAACTGAGCTAATTGATCAGTTCAATGAATTCAACATACCTGGTTTTCCAGGTCAGTTAAATCAAGAACATGAAGTACCTACAGCATTCCAGGACCAGGGTTGCCTACCCCTGTAGTAGACTATGCTTACATAGAGCAAGAGGTGTCAAACTCATTCCATGGAGAGGGCCTCGTGTCTGCAGGTTTTGGGTTTTTCCTTTAAATTAAGCCCTAGACAACCAGGTGAGGTGCATTCTTTACTAATTAGTGACCTTAATTCATCGATCAAGTACAAGGGAGGAGCGAAAACTCACAGACACTAGGCCCTCCATGGAATGAGTTTGACACCCTTGACCTACCATGTATCCCTCTCCAGAGCAGGTTTTCCCAAACTCTGTCCTGGGGCCCCCCCTGGGTGCACGTTTTTTGAGAACGCTGTAGCTTGGGGATGTTCCTCCGTGGTTACTTCCGACACCGGTTGTTGATTTAACCTTGGTGGAAAATACAAAAGTTTGGTCAGAAATCAGTGATATAGGGGAACTGGTTGAAAATTACATTAGAAGCTTTTATGTTTATTTAACAGTTTTTACAGATGGTTCCAAAGATCCTGATAGTGGACACATGGGAGCAGGAGTTTACGTTCCTGAATTTGATGTGCAGATATACAGTAGAAGACTTAACAGATGGCCTGTCTACATACTCTGAACTGTTGGCAATGGTAGTTGCTCTCCAGTGGGTGGAGGAAGCTCAACCTATTAGAATTGTATTATGCTCAGATTATTTGTCTGTACTGGGTGGTTTATCCTCTGGTAACTCTAATAGTAGTGATCTACTATTGGAGGCATTAAGTCTATTACGGAGAATTGAGAGACTGGGTGTAGCAGTGCGTTTCTGCTATAGATATGTATAGAGGACTCAAATAGGATATAACCTGTTTTAGCATGGACGTTGCCATTGAGGGCTTCTTCCATTGTAAAGTAGTCAACTGGGTGGGGATTCCAATGGGTTGGGAGCAACAGCCAATGATCAGAGCATTGTTTTCTTCAAATTGGGTGCTATGGTTTGTAAATGGCTTTACCACCATCTAGTGCCCACAATAAATAAATGACACAATTTGATTCAGGACTCCAGCACTTCTAAAGGGCCCCAGAGTAATGGAAGTGTCATAATACCCATAAAACCTAGCGGTCAAACAGGGATATGGTTCCAATCGAGGATTTTAGAAACACTTAAAATAAGGGCTGTGTTTTGTGTAGGCTTACCCTGGCGTGACATTTTGATAACCATGTAAATCTCTCTTGGACAAGGTGACTTATCAATATTTGTCTCTATTTACACTCAGATTTGAAAATGCTAATTCGCATCAACATAGACATCATGCAAAACTACATATCCCTGCAAGCTCCTCCACGTCATCTCTAGCTGACACCTTTGCTAGCAGGTATTGTGTCAATTTAAAACTTGCACAAGACAGTTCACAGAATTTTCAATTTAAAGAAATGTAGCCTATTTATTCATTACTACATTTAGCTAACATTAGATAGTTAATCCAAAGATTATTACCTTTACCTCGATTCGTCAGTCTCGTCCAGATCATGGCATTTGTAGTTCTTTATGATAGCCACATTAGCAGCTAATTAGCATTTATTTCATTTTGGGGGGGTAAATGCAGGCAAATCTATTGATAAGTCACCTTGTCCTAGAGAGATTTACAGTTATCAAAACGTCACGCCAGGGTAAACCTACACAAAACGCAGCCCTTATTGTAAGTGTTTCTAAAATCCCCTATGGGGAAAAATGTATGGTGGAAAAACGATTGGAACCATTTCCCTGTTTGACCTCTAGGTTATGGGTATTATGACTCAAACTGTGGTACTCTATATAAGCTTTACACTTTTCAAACACAAAAGAAGAAAGGACTATTTTAAAACGGAGATGTCATCAATGGTGCTGCCCATGCTATCGCAGACGCCATAATTGCATGGATACAAAGATGAGACCTCTTTCCATCGCTATGGTTTCTGCTGGGTCGCAGCCCATTCAGGTGTGGGACGGAATTAAATAGTAGCCAAAAGGGCTTTAAAGGTTTTTATATCAATATCAAATCATTTCTGGGTAACAATTAAGTACCTTACTGTAATAGTTTTCCATTCAAATGGTCTAAAAGAAACAAAAGCAAGAATTTTGCTAGGACTGTCTGGGAGTGGTCTGATGTTTTCACACTTTTACAGTGTTCGTTTCATCAGCTGTTGTACAATGTAATACAAAAAACAGGAAAAACAACATTTTGACTGCACTGGACCTTTAAAACGAGATATAGACCTAATTTATATATATTTTTTTTTTCATTTGGGTAGCCTGCATCTAAACAGGCAGCCCAATTCTGATTTCTTTCCCACTTATTTGTCTTTTGACCGATCACGTCAGATCTTTTTCAGAGCTGATCTGATTGGTCAAAAGACCAATTAGTGGAAAAAATATCAGAATTGGGCTGCCTGTCTAAACGCAGCCAGTCATTGCTAGGTAGGAAGAGGGGATGTTTTCTCAGATGCGCCTGGAACAGTGGGCGAGTTCGTTTTGCATGGCTTGGTGCCCCGGGTGGGCAGAGTTTGCACATTTTAGACCATTCCATTGGTCCTTAAGTGAAATCTCCACCCACCCGGGGCACCAGGCCATGCAAAACAAACTGGCCCATTGTATACTGAACAAAAACACCTGTCAGGTGGATGTATTATCTTGGCAAAGGAGAAATGCTCACTAACAGGGATGTAAACAAATTTGTGCAAAACATTTCAGAGAAATAAGCTTTTTGTGCGTATGGATATTTCTGGGATCTTTTATTTCAACTCATGAAACATAGGACCAACACTTTACATAATAATAATAATAATATGCCATTTAGCAGAAGCTTTTATCCAAAGCGACTTACAGTCATGCGTGCAACTTGTTGAGTTTATGTTTTTGTTCAGTGTACATTGAACTCGTCATGGTTCAGTGGAGGCTGCTGAGGGGAGGACAGTGCCTAATAATGTCTGGAACGGCGCAAATGGAATGGCATCAAACACAAGGAAACCATGTGTTTGATGTATTTGATACCATTCCACCAATTCTGCTCCAGCCATTACCACGAGCCCGTTCTCCCCAATTAAGGTGCCACCAACCGATGCCAAGCATGTGAATGGTTTGTGTCTGGAGTGCATGATAATGAAACGGTTTAGCATGTGCTGTTGTATTGGAAGGATGTGGACGAAAGGCAAAGATTAATTAGGGTTATTGAGGTTGGAGGGGGGTTGGAAGGGATTTGGGGGATGGGGGAGGGTTTGTTAGAAGTTAGTAGGGCTCTCTATTATTTTCTTGGTAGTACAGGGTTAGGTATGAGGGTTTATCTAATTTTAATGTTTGTTTTCTTTTATTCTAAAGGCTGTAAACTGTGATTGACCACACACTCCAGTACAGTAGGTGGCAGAATGCACCTCTAACGTTTGTTTTCAGACCGCAATAGAAGAAGAAGTTATAGCTTGAAACTAGCCAATGAGGCACACACACACTAGACCGCAGTTTGATGGCGCTTGAATGCAACATTTTAGCTACAGTAACATTTCATATTTTCAGGTAAATTCACCGTATATTGTTGAAGTCTATCATAATTTGTGTGAATCATTAATATTATCTTGTAATAAAGTTACTATATTGAAATTAGCCAGCTAGTGAATTAGTTTGACGGCTAGTTTGCATAAGGAAACGTTAGCTTTATAACGTTAGCTAGCAGATAGCCTATTTTAAGCTAGCTAACTTTAGCCAGTACCGGTCTCTTTGCAGAGTCGTAAACATTATACGCCTCCCCTGCGAGTAGCGAGCTATGTCTACCGTATGGCTAGTATTGAGATGCATTATCTGTAGCAAATAATGGGCTAACATGTAGCTAGCTAGATAGATTCCCAGATAGCGAGCTCGCTAACTAGCGTTCAAAATTACAGAAATGGAGACGCCGCCAGGTGAGGCGCGCCAAAAGGCAGCAACATTGATATTGGTGGAACTAGCTAGCTAGTAGCAAACTTTAGTTAGCAAATTTACCTAGTTAAGTAGATGCGTTCACTGGTGGGATCTCATGGTCTAGAATAGAAGAGCCACAATAAAACTACTTATGGCTGTAATTTTATCCAGCCGACCACCACATTTGATTGACATGACATGTGAGACTGAAATCAAACCATTATGTTTTTGTTTTCTTTTCTCTTGAAGTGTAGGTGCAGAGTATGGAACCCTCAGAGCATCCAGAAACCTCTGGCTCTTTTCAGATGGCCAATGAGAATGTGCAGCTAGACCTGCTATCCACACAGACTGATATGGACCTGTTTTCTGGGCACACCGATATGGGCCTGCTGCCTGCTCAGACTGATGTAGACCTACTGACTGCACAGAGTGATATGGACCTGCAGCCTACACAGACTGATATGGAGGTGACCTACTCAGGCTCACTGGGAACAGAGAGACAAAGTGGGCAGCAGCAGGCCCTTGATGAGCTGACAACCTTTCTCACCCAATCTGAAAGAGAGAGGCAGAAAACTCAGGACAGCCTGAACATCCTGGGGGACCCAGACTCACTGGAACTGTCCAAAGCCCAGGTGGAGGAGTTTTACAGCCGCACAGTCCTTCCAGAACCATCGGACCTTCAGGAATCCTCAGACCTTCCAGAGCCCTCAGACCTTCCAGAATCCTCATACCTTCCCGAACCTTCAGGCTTCTCAGAATCCTCAGTCTATCCAGAACCCTCATACCTTCCAGAGCCCTCAGGCCTGCCAGAACCCTCAGACTTCCAAGAGCCCTCAGGCCCAGCTACAGGCCTCAGTCAGGATGAGTGGGGCGGGCAGGGCCACACAGAAGCCTGGCCAGAAATGGCCGCTGAGCCAGGGACAAACAGGCTGGAGGTCACAGAGGGAACTCAGACTGTAACTGGGACAACGATGACAGAGACCGGAGAGGAGCAAATGGACATAGTACATGAAGATCCCTCTGCACCTTCTCAAGATGACGTTGATCCAAATATGCCTTCTATAGTCAGCGTAGAGGGTTCACACTCAGAGGATGGTCCAGGCAAAGAGGAAGCCTTATCATTCTTTGGATTGGTGCCAAAGGTAGAAGACACAGACACAGGCACAGCAGAGAAAAATAATGAGCGAGAACAGCCAGTGGGGGGCAGTATGTCCCCACTATCATCATGGGCCCAACCATTGACACCAGGTGAAGGTATGTGTACTACATTTTAACATTTTAGTCATTTAGCAGACGCTCTTATCCAGAGCAACTTAGTTAGTTAGTGAGTGCATACATTTTTCATACTAGTAAGGAACTTTGGTTTGTAGGATCTTTCTCCTTCCTAGTACTTTATTAAATATTGTCTCAATGTCACATATAGAAGTTTCAGTGCCACAGAAATAGTTGGAGAATGATAAAGTGAAATGCAAAACTTGATTTAGGTTACATTACACATCTTTGACAAATAATTTGCAATCACTTCTTCAAATAGCCATCACAGTTCACATACAGCGTGCATATCTATGTCATGAGCAGCCTTTAGTTACTGATGATTGTGTTTGTTTCAGCTGAGGAACAACCTGAAACTGAGGTCGCCATCGAGGATGCAAAAGTTTCTCAAAGTGGTCAAAATACTACGGTACAAAAACTACTTTCCATTCATTGCAGACATTTTCTTTAAAAGTAAGTGAATTTCTCTTATTTACTTGTATTTATTGTAGGGGAGAAAGAGAGGTCGTCCTCGTCGTGGAGAAGTGAGGAAAAACACACAATCCATGTCTGATGGAGGTAAAGCTGCTTATGTTTAGTTCATTAATTTACCTCAGTCTTAACAACTCATTATGTATGACTATTTGTCCATTTATGATTATCATGCTGCCCTAAGTGCATTGTCTCCTGCTGCAGACCAGCTAACAGACAGCGACTCTGACGATACAGCTGACGATCCGAGGGACACAGACTTTGACCCTGCACGGTCAGGCCTCCGGCGCTCCACCAGGGCCTCCCAAAGAAGCCACAACACCCTGTCTCCCCGGCTCATTGCCCCCAAGCCGTCTGGCCCTGCCTCTACCCCTGGGTACACCCAGAGGTCTGGAGGACCCCCTCCACCCCGGCCTCCACCCCCTCGCCAGCCTACCAGGGTCCTCTGTGCCAACTGTAGTGGAATGCTGCAGAGCGGACAGACAGCCTACCAGCGCAGGGGTCAGCCTCAGCTCTTCTGCAGCTCCACCTGCCTTAACTCCTTTGGCAAGAAAGCCCCCAAGAAAAAGCCCTGTGCTTTCTGTAAAAGGTAAGCTTCTCAATAGATATTTAATGAATGTATTCTTAGCTTCTCTTTCCAGTAAGTACAGTGGATCCATAACCAATTCCTCATGTTGTTTCACAGTAAAGTAAGTGTAAACCTTGTGCATTGTTTTGATCTTAACAATATTTCTCTTTTAGGGACATGGGGAATAGTAAGGACACCATGCTTGCACAGGTTGGCCAGTCACAGTCCTTCCAAGAATTCTGCAACAACACTTGTCTTTCCCTGTATGAGGCCCGGCTGGAGAAGGGTCCGAAACAGCCCCCCAAACCAAGTGCCCCTGGCCAAAGATGCAGTGTGTGCAACCACATGCGTGAGGTACCAAAGCTTTGACCGTAACATTTGGGATGATCTGCTCCCAACCGATTGGCTTCATGTTCAACTCAATAGGAAGAAACTCCAGTAGACAGTAGGATGATGATTTAACACAGGATGACTACACTTCCACAATGCTTTGCTTTTGATTTGAAAATGCAGTAGGCTTTTTTGTCATACATTATATTTCACCATACTTTATATTGAAGCTATTCTAAAGACTGCAGCTTCTACTCTTGCAACAATTTATCGAAAAGCTTGCACCAGCCTTACCTACTCTGGTTTGAGTTTCCCCCCACCATCTGTTAGTAATTTGTAAATTAGTACAATAAAATGTATTCAAAATAAGTAAGCACTTTTTAATGGCAAGCGCTGCAAACCCACACAATGATGTGATTATGGTATACATTCTTTAAAGTTGCCTTTGTGTTAGAAATGCTGGTTAGAGATCTGATCTGCACACTTCAATCCGAGCTCAGTCTATCTAGGGCGGGCCTCCAACCACCTGTGTTGATGTGAAGTATTTGTCAAGACGTGGGCTTTTCCCAGAAGGGACAACAAAGAATGACTAAACACATTTCACTGTGTCTTCGTGTTGATAATTGTATCATTGAAAACAGATTTGTATGTTCCTAACTAGGTGTACTGTATGCTGTGATTATAGAGGAGGGGAATTCTGTCATTTTTATATCCATATGACAAGTTTATGCTGCTGTGGGTCTGTTTGTATGATATGAGCATGCACCAGAATAAATCATAGCCAGCTACAAGATTTTGGTCAACTGATTTAAACACCAAGGGAAGACATATTTTAAGTTATATTTGAAATGATCTCTGAGCCGGTCCTACATTTCTTCCATCTCCTGCCTCAGATCAACCACGAGGTAACCATGGGCAATATGATTCACCTCATGTGCAGCGATGCCTGCTTCAACCGTTTCCGGGCTACTAAGGGCCTGAAGACCAGCTGCTGTGACGCCTGTGGCACCTATATCAACACCTTCACCTCCCGGCCCGAGTACCTACTGCATGAGGGCCAGCAGAGGAGGTTCTGTAACTCCTCCTGTCTCAGACTCTATAAGATGGTGGGTGTGGGAATTTAGTTTTCTTGAATGTACTATAGTCATATTTCTTCCTGAAAATGATATGGTGTTGATCTTAATGGCTGCTGTGTGTTATCTTTTGATTTCAGAAAAACACTAAGGTGCTCTCGTGCCAGTGGTGTAGGACTCTGTGTAAGAACTTTGACATGCTGTCTAAAGTGGATCAGTATGGCAAGACCAAACACTTCTGTTCTTTGTGCTGTATCGCTTCACATAAAGTGAAAACTTCTGTGGACACAGGTACCTTCAACTCTCCTTGGCTTGTTTACACAATCTGAATGGTGTGATGTCTGACTGTGAATTAGTCTTCATTATTACTAATCTGCTTATTTTCCAGTTCCCAGTGAAGCTTGCAGTTTCTGCAAAAGAAGCCCCTCTGAACCATACTACTGTAAAGCAAATGAGACTGTTTACGTCTTCTGTAGCCCTAGCTGTTGGAGCAAATTTCAGGTAGGATAGCCCCATACCCTGAATAGAGTTGGGACAACATAACAATCTACAAATGCATTGTCCAGTTTTTTGCATTAAAACATGTCTGCCAGATGCTTATACAACATTTTATTTGATGTGGATTTGTTTTCAATGTGAATTTTTAATGCCTCAGTTTTTCAATAAACCAAATCATTCAAAGGAGATTTTTGAAGGATTCTGAAAGTGATTAAAAAAGGAACCGTTAATATTTACAGTTTGATGTACAGTCTTGGCCGTAGGTGCCTGTAAACAGAAAAATGCTAGTTAAAATGCACACCAAGCTGCTGCAGTGGGGCGCTCCGCCTCACTTCTGGAGCCCATTAAAATAAAAACTAATCATAAAGCGCTTTAATGTGGAGAGGGTCACCTTTTGAAAGCTTTCACCTTTATTCTACCTAAAAGTCTATGAATTAGGGCTTGTTTTGTTCTTGAGAAACCTGAGCGGTTCTTGAGTCCATTCTCTGGTTTAATCCCCAATTTAACAAATATACTCGCTCGCTTCTTCACAGCGCAACAGTCCCAATGGAGGCATTTACTTCAGCTGTCTCTCCTGTCATAACATGTTCAGTGGGAAACCAGAAATCTTAGATTGGCAGGTAATTCCTTGTACATACGTGTTTATTAATTTACTAGTCTCAACATTGTGGCAAAAATGTCTTACAGCTGGTTTAGTGAACACTGTTATTTTATCAAGACTACTCAAATAAAAAGTACATGCACCATTCTATTTCATTTGCTTTCAGGACTCAATATATCAGTTTTGCTGTAAGGAGTGCTGTGAGGACTACAAGCGCCTGAATGGTGTGGTTTCTGTGTGTGAACACTGCAAGCAAGAGAAACCTCTGCATGAGAAGATGAAGTTCTCTGGGGTGGAGAAGTCATTCTGCAGTGACGGTTAGGATGATGCATGCATTTCTTTGTGCATTTTCTGATTTATTAGATTTACATGGAAACACTTTCCTGTGTGTCTAGGCAGAGACTTATAAGTGTTTTGTCTCTTTTTACCAAGGTTGCATACTACTGTACAAGCAAGACTTTGCTAAACAACTGGGCCTGTGCTGTATAACCTGTACATACTGTTCTCAGACCTGCTCACGGGCGGTCACAGAGGAACAGGATGGAAACACGTGGGATTTCTGCAGCGAAGATTGTAAAAGCAAATACTTCCTGTGGTACCTGAAAGTATGTATAATCAATCACAATGCCATATATACACCCTGACCATATAACTGGCCCTGATAAGTTTTAGATGCCTGCTGGTACACGGGCTGCATTCAGTTCATTCTCTGTCACTGTACATAGTACATTTGTTTGTGGTAATCTAGACATACTTGATAGAGGAATGGTAACTTCCAAATGCAAACGGGCAGAATATGGTCATGATGTCATGCATGGAAAAAATGAATCAGAATAATATGCATGATATGTGATCAAATTGTGTGAGCAGTGTCATATATTAACATGCTACAGTGTGTACTGTATGTATGGTTGCTATGGGTGTTCTGAGCCATGTCTGTTCTCCTAGGAAGCAAAGTGCCATGCCTGCAAGCGTCAGGGGCAGCTCCTGGAGACCATCCACTGGAGGGGAGAGATCAAACACTACTGTGACCAGCCGTGCCTCCTGCGCTTCTACAGCCAACAGAACCAGCCCAACCTAGACACCAAGCAGGGCCCTGAGAGCCTGCTCAACAGTGCTTCATGTACACAAACGCATGCATGCACACACAACACACACACTTTTCATAAACCCAATCCATACATGGGAATGATTTTTATAAGTACTCTTTTATGTAATCGTTTAGTGTTAGATTTTTCACTGTTTAACATAATGTTACAAAGTTACTGTGAATGCCTTTGTGAAAGTGTAAACGTGTTAGTCTCTCTCAGTAATTGGCTATTAAAATTCTATATGTTTACTGGACTTGCAGGTAATTCCCCAGAGTCTACAACTCCCCCTGCTGCTACAAAGACAAGTGAAGTAAGTGTGCTTTTTGATTAGATGCTCCAAAAGGTGGGGGGGGAAATGCCACCGAAAGGAAACAAAATGCATTCAATCATGGCTTTTACCACAACACATTTATTGTGCTTCAAAAAAACTTAGCATTACTTCAAAGTCAAATTAACACGGATACTTTTCTCTACAATTAGTCTTCTGAGTAAACGTCCCAATCTTTTTTCTTTTTGATGTTTCTGTTATTTTAGGCCACAGGAAGAGGTCTGACGAAGACTGTAGCCAAGCTTGCTCCTCCCGTCACTACACCTATCTCCCAAAGGAACAAATCCTCCATGTGTAAACCCATGATGACCACTACCGGTGTCACATGTAAACCTGAGATGAAGTCCCAGAGTTGCCAGACAGGTAATGGCGAACGTAAACCCATCTCTCTCTCTCTATGGGACTCACTGATTAGTCTTATACTGTATTTAATATTATACTATTTATACAAAACATCCCTATTCATATGTTAAGAGCTTTTTAGTTAAATCAGGCCTACAACAATTATAATTAGCAATTGTAAAAAAGCACCTTCACGGTTTTCAGAAATGTCTGTTTGTTTCAGATGATTTCTTGCAGTCCCCACCTGCGGTGTTGCCAGTCCCTGTGCCTGTGTTTGTTCCTGTGCCTTTGAATATGTACTGTCAATACACTCCCATAACAATGGCCCTGCCTCTGCCGGTGAGTTGGTTTTGTCTAGGTCCTGTTGAGTATTGTGCAAAATCCACTCTAGGCTCATCGTCATTTATTTAGAGTCTAGACTAGAGTAACTCTTAGTGTCCACCCAAACTTGTTCCGTATGGATGCCTACACACTAGTGCTGAGCGATTTGAGGTTGGTTCTGTTTCCGTTTGATTATTTTAAAATTATCACGGTTTTCGCAAAACAATTTTTAAACATTAAATGCGCTATGCATTATGTGTTGAATGCTGTAACACAAAATGAAACAATTAAGTCCCATGATGGTAGACTGCCCATTACTGAGTATCACTTATTAACCAAGCCATTTATTCAAATTACTTTTAAAAATAAAATATTTCAGTTGTGTATATTACATTTGTTTTATTTGATGACTTAATTTTTTATTCCAAGTCATCTCATCTCTACAAATCAAATTACAATTGATTTGTCACATACACATGTTTAGCAGATGTTATTGCGTGTGTAGCGAAATGCTGGTAGAGCTGCTGCCTATGCTGTCTGACAATCACTATTTTAGCAGTTCTTCAAAGTCAAGAAGGCATACTTTTATGACTGCTGAATACCAAGTATCAATGACTTAAATAATTTATGTTCAGGTAGAGAACTCATGAAGCAACTGCTCTGTCATTCATTCTTATGTCTCTTTTACGTAGCAGGCGTAAAAGAGAAACAGACCGGACAAGTAGGTGTGTCATGGATTATGGTCAATGTAGTTAATTACAACGTTTATTGTGCTAAACTGTGTAGAATATTGGCCTGTTGGAAACTACAACTCCCTACTGCATCGCACAGTTCGGGCTTGGATCTGATTTATCTCTAGAGAAACTGTGAATTGAGCTCACACACAACGAACTGAATGGAATTCTAATAATTGAAGTCGGTCAATTAGTTGTTTAAAAACCGAAAAATAAATGAAGTTTCAGTTAATCACTCCGCTCTACTACACACTGCTGCAATAGTGTGTAGTTCTCTAGAGTGACTGCCCTTTTTGTCTGCTTATTGCTTTGCTCCTTTTTCTCTCGTAGCTCCCTGTCCCCATGTTCCTACCTGTCACACTGGATCACATCGATAAGCTTGTGGAATATATAAAAGAGCTGAAACTCCAGATCCCATCTGATCCACTGGAGGCTGACATTCTGGCCATGGCAGACATGATAGCAGAGGAGAATAAAGGCAAGGGCTCCTCTGATCTGTCTGGTAATGCTCCTGCACTTACTCTTCTTAGTCAACTCACTATTGATGTTCTAGATATATATATAAACACAAAGTTACAATAATTTTATCTTTAGATCTGGACAGTGATCAGAAAGCAGGCCCGTTGCTGAGGGACTACAGCTTATTTGAGTCTTCATCCCAAGATGACATCCTCTCCATGGCCGTCAATATGGATGATGTACTGACTGAGCCAGGTCAAGACCCAGGCGATGAGCTCACCAAAGGCAGGTTAAAGCTTTATGATATGAAACGTCTAATGTGTAATTTGCTTTGCAGTCCGATGTGTAAACTTTCACTAATTGCACACTCTCAACAAAGGGATGTCTTAAATATATAGATGTGTGTGTATGTATGTATATATGCATATATATATATGGGTGTGTGTGTGATATATATATATATATATTAGTCCCATTTTAATTTGTGCTCTTTAGCTTCCCTGGACCTGAACCCCAATGTTGATTTCCTCTTTGACTGTGGGATGCCACCACATGCTACTTCACCAGAGCAGAGCTCCAACGTCGCTGTTCAGAAGGTATAATTAAACCCAGCCTACAATAGCAGTGCATTCTGTTTGCCTTGACTGTCATAGACAGGACCTTGATTATCCCCTCCCTAATTGACAAACCTTTTGTCTGTCTTTTATAGACCTAACTTTCACTGTAATTTTGTATTGCATTAAATAGTGTCAGAAAAGAGTTGACTCTCGATGTGAGAGACACAGAGGAATCCCATGGTATGCTGGAAATCTGAAAATAGCTGGCACAAACATGACAAATGACTTGGTGTCAGACTTACCGGAGACCAGTGGTCATGTTCTACGTACTTAGACAGGTGCTACAGGGTCCCGAAGGTGAAATGGTTGTTGAAAAACAAATCTATCCCTGGCGGCAGGCAGGCAGGCATGATCCAAAACACGCGGCTCATGTAACTTAAGTCCACAGTCACCAAACCTACAAGATGGACAGCTTACCAATGGACAGTGTCTTCGTACGTTTTTGAGAGTATTTGAACATATTTACTGAGATGTTGACTTACTGTTTCTCTTGAGTTTTGGTGGTCTCTTAGACCAGACAACGTCTTAATGATCGTTGCAAATGTTGAAGAATTTATTAGGTACACCACCCCATTCACGAAAATGATTCTCTCCTACAGACAGTGAGTCACGTGGCTGTGGCTTGCTATATAAAGCAGGCATCGAGGCATTCAGTTCCTGTTCGATTGAAAACGAGTGACCTAAGCGACTTTGTGTGTGGTATGATCGTCGGTGCCTGGCGCGCCGGTTCCAGTATCTCAGAAACTGCCGGCCTCCTGGGCTTTTCACACATGTCTAGGGTTTACAGAGAATGGTGCGACAAACCTAAACCATCCACTCAGCGGCAGTCCTGTGGGCAAAAACAGCTTGTTGATGAGAGGTCGAAGGAGAATGGCAAGAATCGTACAAGCTAACAGACGGGCCACAAACAGGCAAATAACATTTACATTTTAGTCATTTAGCAGACGCTCTTATCCAGAGCGACTTACAGTTAGTGAGTGCATACATTTTCCATACTGGCCCCCTGTGGGAATTGAACCCACAACCCTGGCGTTGCAAGCGCCATGCTCTACCAACTGAGCTACAGGAGGCCCTGTAACAGCACAGTACAACAGGGGTGTGCAGAACGGCATCACGGAAGGCACAACTCATCAGTCCTTGTCACGGATGGGCTATTATTGCAGCAGATGACCACACCGGGTTCCACTCCTATCAGCTAAAAACAAGAAGAAGTGGCTCCAGTGCCACACAATTACCAACACTGGACAATTGAGTGGAAAAACATTGCATGGTCCGACAAATTCCCGGTTGATGTTGTGTCTGATGGCAGAGTCAGGATATGGTGTAAGCAGCATGAGTCCATGGGCCCCATCCTGCCTGTTGTCAACGGTACAGGCTGGTTGTGTAATGGTGTGGGGAATGTTTTCCTGGCATACGTTAGATCCCTTGATTTACAATTGAGCAACTTTTCCATGCCCCAAAGAATTTGGGCTGTTATGGAGGCAAAGGGGTGTCCGACCCGATACTAAATGGGTGTACCTAAAAAAAAAAAACTAGGCTCTGAATGTAATGTGTGCACTGTGAAGAGAATATAAGTAACTAACTACAGTAACTACCCCTTAACAGGTCATAGCAGTGTGATGTCTAATATAGGCTTTGTGTCACAGGGGCCCAAGCGTCAGGCCATGCCAGAGATGACTTTACATGATCCCCTGGACAGTCAACCTCTTGGTGCTGGCTTGAACAGCTCTATTGGGGTCGATGCCTGGAGGTCATGGTCCCAAAGCAAGCACTCAGATGCTGATGATAGAAAACGTAAGATGTTTCAGCTGTAGTGTGAAAGCTGAGTTAATAGATATCTCTTAACTGGTAGATGGCTCTTTGATAGCGCTCCTATGAGTTTGATTGGTCTCCTATGAGTTTGATTTGATCTCGTATGAATAAAATGGGCAGTAACGTTTCAATGTAATCCTGATAATAGAGTGCCTTTTTTAATTGTTCTCCTATACAGAGAAACCATTAGACCTTCTGTTATGTAGTCCTGAGGAACTGAATCATGGCCTGTCACAGTTTGTCCAAGACATTGTTCATCCCAGAGGCCCGTGCTACAAGCCTGACAGCGTATTTTACCTATGTCTGGGGATTCAACAGGTCAGTCCCAATGTTTCAGTCAGGTAGTTCATCTATGCAACTTGTCTAAGAATCCCTTATTCAAATCTTAAGTAATTACATTTTTTTGAAAAGCTGGTTGTCTGTTTAGCAATGTCAATTTTGTTTATACAGTGTGTTCAACCAACACATTTGATCACAGTTGTCTTGTCTATTTTCCAGTATCTCCTCGAAAACAACCGGATGGTGAATATATTCACAGACCAGTTATATGTTACCTTCGCTCAGGAGCTGAATAAGATTGTCAGCAAATGGCTGCCTTCTATGTCAGCTAATGGTGGGTTCATAATAACATTTCTATTTATTTTTCACACATTGTGTATGTGTTGTATTTGGGGTGTATGTAATGTGTTTGCGTGTGGTGTTTGGGATGCAGGTGATCTCGTGTCTCGTGTCCTGGAGGAGCACCTGTGGGAGTGTAAACAGCTGGGTGTGTACTCACCCTTCGTCCTGCTCAACACCCTCATGTTCTTCAACACCAAGTACTTTGGCCTGACTACCGTGGAGCAGCACCTCCAGCTCTCCTTCTCTACAGTTACGCGCCAGGCCAAGCGGAGATCTACACCACATGGCATGGTCAAGTCATCTAGTGTCTGCTACCGCCCCAAATCACATCACAAGAGAACCAGCAAAGGTGAGAGAGATTACAATATTTGTTTTCTGTGTATTGTTTTGGTTTAAGAACGTCCAGTGAATGAGAAGTGTCAGTATGCTTCGTAGCCCATTGAAAGATGGGCTAGTTGTCATTCCCAGTAACCACTGAGACATTGTTTTTTTTTGGATCGTGACCCATGACCCCAGCCTGGGGGGAAGCAGGTCACCTATCTTGAGTTGTGCCACCTTTCAGCTGAATTACAGGGGGCTGACAAGGGCTGACAAGGGCTAGGGTATGGAGTCATTTTACACGAAGAACTACAACTTGCTGAAATTGAATCTTTGAGCACACAAGTCTAGTTTAGCGTTATGAGGTCCAGTTCAGTGGTAAGAATGTAGGCTATTTTCCAAAACATCCTCAAAGTACTCTACATATAATTTGGATGTATTCCTGACCATTGCGTGGTAGGCTCATTTGCTTTTATCTGCTGAGGAATTATGGGGGTTGACATTTTGTCTTAAAGTAACTTAGAGCCTGGGTTTTTCTTATCCTTATCACTATAGTGTGTTTTAAAGTGCAATTAGATGATGGTGATGGGTAATTTTCATAGGGAGGGACCACTACTCCTAAACATGGTGCTGCTGACCCCAAAGAGCTTCCACTGAAGCTAAATGAGTAAAAAAAACAGTTGAACCAATTAAAACCCTCCGCACTGCATTGGCTTCCACCGATCAAATAACATGGTGCTAATGAATTGGACTGCCTGGAGGATAACACTGCAATGCCTGTGAAATTGGCCTGGTGCCAGTTGTTTATTTAAAACATATAGGCTAGCCTAGACCCACACCTCTATCCTCTTCAGTGTTTTTATGTTTACTGGCATGTTCTTACTGAAACAGAATCACGTGTTTTAACGTAGGTCTATTTTGAACTCGGCCCGACCATCATTCTCTGCATATCAGTGTCACTAGTTAGATTCCTCAGTGGCTTTGTAGGTCAGTTTGAAATTGATCTGTTTGGCACTACTTTTGTGGTTTTATGCTGATGGGCAAAATACTAATTTAAAAAAGCTTTTAGTGACATTCTGTCACCTGTTGACATTTGTGTTCTATGGGTGCTTGTCTTAAATATTACAAATAAGTGAGGCAGCTGTTGATGTAGGAGAAGGATGTTGTTGGTCCCTTCCCCCCCGGTTGGTTCAGTCATACTGCTATTTTCAGTGTGTCTGACAGCTATTTATACCACAGAATGATTTTTTTTTGAAGAGCTGCTCTCAGCATAGGTGTACGATGGTATGTGTCTTAGAACACTGTGGTATGTGTCTTAGAACACTGTGGTATGTGTCTTAGAACACTGTGGTATGTGTCTTAGAACACTGTGGTATGTGTCTTAGAACACTGTGGTATGAGTCTTAGAACACCGTGGTATGAGTCTTAGAACACTGTGCTATGTGTCTTAGAACACTGTGGTATGTGTCTTAGAACACTGTTTGCCAAGGGAAAACCAGGAAGCTAAAAGTAGCTGTGGAGCAACTGAGTCGTGCAACATGATACTAGAGAATCTCTGACTGAATGTCTGTAACGTGTTTTAGATGTAGCTGCACAATAAATCAAGTCCATACATCAACGTTGGATAAAACACGTGCTTCTGACCTTAGGCAAATTCATGACATCAAAGTACCCTGGTCTTTGTAGGAAAGACCCTGTCCATTGCAAAATAATATTCATTTTATTAACCTTTTTTATAAGTATGACAGTGACATGGGTTTATGAAAAACATAGTTATTTTCATCAGAAGCCACACCACTGTTTCCCATAACTGTCCGGCCATCCGCTTCGTCAGTTTAGCTTGGCCCTAACTGAAGCCAAGTGTTAAACTAAACGCCCAGGGGTCAGACAGTGAAGTGAGCCTGTACTCTGTTCTGTTCACACACAGAGGTCGGCTTGGGAAAGAGGAAACGGGATGAGTCTTCTGAGCTGGAGCAACAAGAGAACCGGATGAACCCTCTCAGATGCCCTGTCAAATTCTTTGAGTTCTACCTCTCCAAATGGTAAGGAATGTGGACTGTCCAGGTATGCAAAGCAGGGTTTGAAACACCAGTTAAAGGCCTTGGACTGTCCCTGGCTGTCAAAGATTCAGAATTTGTTTGATACATTGAAGTCAATGTTCCCTCTAAGCTGTGTGTGGACGCACACCACCTCCAGGACAGCCGTGCAGAAGAAATGCCAGGCCGGTCAGAGACGAAAGAGATTGAACTTTACTGAGTTCACTCCATTAGTTTGCACTATATAGATCAAGGTTTTTTCTGTGATCGAATCAACATTATATCAGCCCCTTTTCAATTCAACAAACCAAAAAAACCTAAGTTTGCAAGATTGAGTCTGTGATTTTGTTTTAGGCAGAGCCAGAGCGCGAAGGAGTAGAATTATATTGGCGGGTTTAGCCCACGAGCGGTCTTTCAATCACCCGCGAGTGAATGCGCTTTTCAGATCAGAGCGCAGAGCTGCGTGTGCACATTTGTTGATATTATTTGCTTGTTAGCGCAGTTATAGATAAGTATCGGTCAGCAATGGGGAGTTACTGCTTCCTACAAGAGCACAATGTCTAGGCTTAGGCTATATTTCAAGCTGTCTTTGAAAAGCCAGTCAGGTAAAAAGTTTGTCTTAATTAAAGGGGCAGTGTTGTATTTTGAGACAGGCTTGAATGTGCAAATAAGCCAATAGGCAGAGGGGTAGCCTACATTGTCTAATTCTCTGTATGGTAATAGTAATTTATTGTTTTGTAAAGGGGTTTCTTGCATCATACAATGCAATTTACAGTCACCTATTTTGGCCCATGGTGTTACAGACCAAGTAAAAAATCATTAATGTCAAGCCCTTTTTTTAAAGTCTCATGCAATGTATGCCTGCATTGAACACCACATATAGGCTACTGTAGGCTATATCATAGAAAGAAAAAGCTATTTCCATGTGAAAATATGGGATTTGGTCCATTGGTTTTGTTGGTAGGCCTACATTATGTTCAAATAGCCACAATAGCCTATTGGCTACTGTCTAAAACTGTAATGTGTACAGCCTCAGTGTTCACTATAAACACGTGCCGGAAGTTGCACAAAAGTCTCACAACATTCAAGTTTCCGCTCACAAGACCTAAAATTTGCCCAGTGCCCCAAAAAAGTAGAGGGTACATTGATTGGAATGAATGAATAAATAAAACGGTACAGTTTCCTTTTTTAGATTCACATATGGTGTCTGTCTTTGTGTTCTTACAGCTCTGATGGTGTGCGGAGCAGCTGCAGTGCGTTCTACCTGCAGCCGGAGGGCACATGTATGGCCGAGAGTTCTCGCTGGTACTCTGACGTCCCCATGGACAAGGGCAGGCTGGGAATTATGCTCAACAGGATCCTGGCTGTCAAGGACGTCTATGAAGAGCACCCGGCACAGGGAGATATGGACTGACAGCCGCACTGATAGATTGCACAACAAGTTTATATAGTGTACATTGCTTACATGGAAGCCGCTAGCACAAGGGATGACGAGCATGACTGCAATGCATTTTTGTTCCATGTTTTTTCTATGTCACCCCTACACAAATAGTTCAGTGAGCATTCCCCCATAGAATTACCATTATACATTGAGTGCACAAAACATTAGGAACACATTCCTAATATTGAGTTGCACCCCCCTCCCCCCACCTTTGCCCTCAGAATCGCCTCAATTTGTCGGGGCATGGACTCTACTAGGTGTCGAAAGTGTTCCACAGGGATGCTGGCCCATGTTGACCCCAATGCTTCCCACAGTTGTCAAGTTGGCTGGATATCCTTTGGGTGGTGAACCATTCTTGGTACACACGGGAAACTGTTGAGCGTGAAAAACCCAGCAGCGTTGCAGTTCTTGACACACTCAAACCGGTGCGCCTGGCACCTACTACCATACCCTGTTCAAAGACGCTTAAATCTTTTGTCTTGAATGGCACACTTAATCAATGTCTCAATTGTCTCAAGACTTACAAATCCTTCTTTAACCTTTCTCCTCCCCTTCATCTACACTAATTGAAGTGGATTTAACAGGTGACATCAATAAGGGATCATAGCTTTCACCTGGATTCACCTGGTCAGACTATATTTTATGGAAAGAGCATGTGTTCCTAATGTTTTGTACACTTAGTGTATGTACAGAAAATGTATAGCACTGTAGTATACCACCATCAGTTCAGGTAATCTATTTTGAATGCTCAAGTACATTGGGCACTCAACGACCACTAGTTGAGACTTCATGTCTGTGGTTTGTATTGAAAACTCATACATGAGTTTTTTTTAATGAAGTGTACAGAACAGCTGTATTATAAAAGTACTTTAGTTCATAAAACCATTTAATTGACACTGCATTATACCCCCTACGCCAGCCTCACTGGATTTTGTTTCATTCAAAAGCTTCATGTTCAGATAGTGATGATATTTACGTGTTCGTTATTTAGCAAACGCTCTTATCCAGAGCGGGTTACAGTAGTTAGTGCATACCTTTCTCTTACTTTTTTCGTACTGGTCCCTGGTGGGAATCAAACCCACAACCCAGGCATCGCAAGCGCCATGTTCTACCAACTGAGCCACACAGGACCTTATATAAACAATCATGTTGAACTTGAACACTTTAAATCTGTGTTTACCATGTGGCCAGTGAGGGTAAAAACCATTTATTGCTGCCAGAGATGTTCACATGTACAGTATCGAGAAGCGCATAGTAATGGCAGACGTTTTACTTCATAGCTAATATATATATACACTACATGTCCAAAAGTATGTGGACACCCCTTCAAATTTGTGGATTCGGCTATTTCAGCCACACCCGTTGTTATCAGATGTATAAAACCGAGCACACAACCATGCAATCTCCATAGACAAACATTGGCAGTAGAATGGCCTGTACTGAAGAGCTCAGTGACTTTCAACGTGGCACTGTCATAGGATGCCAGCTTTCCAACAAGTCAGTTCATCAAATGTCTGCCCTGCTAGAGCTACCCCGGTCAACTGTAAGTGCTGTTATTGTGAAGTGGAAACATCTAGAAGCAACAACGGCTCAGCCGCGAAGTGGTAAGCCACACAAGCTCACAGAACGGGACCATCGAGTGCTGAAGCGCGTAAAAATCGTCTGTCCTCGGTTGCAACACTCCCTACTGAGTTCCAAACTGCCTCTGGAAGCAACGTCAGCACAATAACTGTTAGTTGGTAGCTTCATGAAATGGGTTTCCATGGCCGAGCAGCTGCACACAAGCCTAAGATCACTATGCGCAATGCTAAGAGTCGGCTGGAGTGGTGTAAAGCTCACCGCCATTGGACTCACCATCTGGCAGTCTGACAGACACATTTGGGTTTGGTGGATGCCAGGAGAACGCTACCTCCGAATGCATAGTGCCAACTGTAAATTTTGGTGGAGGAGGAATAAGGGTCTGGGGCTGTTTTTCATGGTTTGGGCTAGGCCCCTTAGTTCCAGTGAACGTAGATCTTAATGCTACAGTATACAATTACGTTCTATACGATTCTGTGGTTCCAACTTTGTGTCTAACACCGACTGCGAGCCAGGCTTAATCGCCCAACATCAGTGCCCGACCTCACTAATGCTCTTGTGGCTGAATGGAAGCAAGTCCCTGCAGCAATGTTCCAACATCTAGTGGAAAGCCTTCCCAGAAGAGTGGAGGCTGACCAACTCCATATTAATGCCCATGATTTTGGAATGAGATGTTCGACGAGCAGGTGTCCACATACGTTTTGGACATGTAGTGTATATTGCCCCTCATTTAATAATGTCTTATTGTAACAATCATATAACATTCATTAAACAAAACAAAAGAAGCCACATGATAGAATAGTTTTTATTTACTTCTCATTTTGATCCTGCTTAGATTGTCTTTAATTGACAAAATAGTATGTTTTATTGCATTTTCAGTCCTGAATGTCTTGAGAAAAGTTGAATATGTACTATAACGTTTATTTTCTGTCTTTTTCTAATTAAAGAATGCATATAGAATCGAGAATGAATGTCTTGTACAAATTATTTCATTAAAAAACAATTAATTACTCATGGTTGTAAAATCAGTTAAATGCATGCTGTATCTTACAGACAAACGTAAACTCTTTCTGGTATGTAGTCTGCCAAATGATTATACAGCGATATCAAACAAACAAGCATTTGCGTTGTCATTATTTCCAGTCAGAATAATCAGCATGTTAAGGGTTCATAAGAAAACAACGTGCCTTGAACACTTTGAAATATTATACTCTACATGGCAAATGTTTGGCTGATGGGAGAAAACCTCCAACTGTTGCTATTTTTATGCCCAAACAAAAAAATTAATCAAACTTTGGAGTTCGATTGGCCTCTCTCTCTTTGCATACAGACTCCCTGGCAACCCTCTCCAGATAGAGAGATAGCACTTGTCCAGGGAGTACCCTTTACCTCTGGGAGCTGTGTGAGTCATACTTGGGTCTTGTCTGCTGGCCACGGGATTGGTCTGTACAGTAACATAACTAAAGAACATGAAGCCACCTCTGTTTGCAGCACTGCACATAGGACACACAGCATTGAGTGAATGCCTCATACATCTGATGCTTTTCAGTTGAAGTTCTGTTTCATTAGTAAAATGTTTAATGTGAACGAACTACTCCGAAGAAGTAAACAAAATGAACGTAAACCTCTACAAACGGTTTTTGTTACTGGCCCCTGACAAATGAGGTGATTTTATCCTGCTTTAAGTCTTTGTTTTCATCCCTTTAAATGTTATCTTTAAAATGTTTCTTATTCAAGTAAAATCTGGTATATTTGTTGTTTTGTTAAGGCAGACATGACTGTCCATTCTGATAGAGAATGTCACGAGAGGAGATAACATTATCTTCCATATTGTTCCTTCCATAATCTTGCTCTCTTGATACAATGTTTTCTATGAAAGGCACATTGTCTACTTTGGTACAGGGTGATGTTAGGGTGTAGAAATGGGATAATGCTGCATTTTGACTGATACCTGTGTTGTGTATACACCCTGGTTTTATACTAGGGAAATTGTCAATACATATGCTGATGTGCTATCCCGCGTGCAATGATGTCAGAGGAGGAAAAAACAGGGTTCGTTGTTTGCAGTAACATCTTTGTTATAACATCGCAAGCGGCCGTGGCAGTTTCACCATTAAGGATTCCAGCTTGAATGCCTCTCTGACAGTCCCACTCTGGCCCCAAGTCCCAAGTCTGGCCCCAAGTCAGATTAGGTCCAAGGCCCAATACTTTTTTCCCGCCACCTCAGAGGTGGAAACACAAAAGTTTGGATCTTTAGGCCAAGCACCTGTATAAAACCCTGTGGTGGAAATACGCCATAACTGTCCCTCAGATCTTTAGATCGTCTAGTCTGGTCTTATTATTGCTGTGCTTGCTGGATCGACTGGGTCGCCGTTGGTTCTCTGCAGGCGACCCTGGAGCAGAACTGGAGCCTTTCATTTCTGTGGTGTCACTCCCTTCTGGTTTACTGTTCCTCTCTACGGCCAGGTTGTCTCTGTTCTGCTTGTAAGCCACTTTGCTGCTGTAGGGGTGGTAGGCAGAGTCAGGCTTAGTCAAGATGTACTGGTCTGCATGGTAGGGCTCAGGGGCTGGGTGGTGCCTGGGGAAGTAGTTTAAGTTCGGGACAAAGGGCACCACTGCCTCGCTGGGGGTCTTGTACCCTGCCTCACATGTGGACTGGGCGCGTCTGTACCGGAGGCCCTGGCGGCACTTGGTGAACCCCAGGTGATACATCTCCACTAGGTTCAGCAGCAGCGAGATGAACGCCACTGCCAGCATGAAGAGGATGAAGATGGTCTTCTCTGTGGGCCTGGAGATGTAGCAGTTCACCATGTTGGGGCAGGGTGAGCGGTTACAGGTGTACAGTGGCTTCAGCTCAAACCCATACAGCAGGTACTGAACTACGATAAATCCCACCTCGAACAGGGTCTTGAAGATGATGTTGAAGACATAGGTGCGCAGCAGGACGCCTCGCAGGCGGATGCGGCCCTGATCGTCCCTGACGGGGGGCTTCTTGGGCTTAGTGTCGGGCACCAGTTGCTGCTTGTCATTGTGGATGGCCAGCTGCGCAGCCAAGTCTTTCTCCTTCTGCTTCTGTTTCTCCTCCATGCGCACCAGGTGCAGGATGTGGCCCAGGTAGATCAGAGTGGGTGTGGACACGAAGATGATCTGCAGCACCCAGAAGCGGATGTGAGAGATGGGGAAAGTCTTGTCATAGCAGACATTCTGACAACCAGGCTGCTTGGTGTCGCAGGTGAAGCCAGACTGCTCGTCACCCCACACCTTCTCAGCTGCAGCTCCCAACACCAGGATCCTGAAGATGAAGAGCACGGTCAGCCAGACCTTGCCCACTACACTGGAGTGCTCCTGGGCACTCTCCAGCAGCTTGCCCAACAAGTTCCAGTCCCCCATAGTGGCTCACTCATAGGCTCAGTCCTACAGAGTGATCCAAAACAGGAACCTGCAATCAGAATAAAAACATATTAACTAATGCATTGCATAAGAGACAAACATCAAAATTGCATTGAAAACCGTTGCATAATAACTTGGAGAGCTTGAGAAACATGCCTCACCATTACTATATCATTACACCTAGGGTGGCATAATAAATGTACCTATGTGATGCATTTCCATTTGTAATGTATTTGGTTGTAAACTCATGCATTTGAAGATAAGAGCCAAGTATTTTTACTGTGGCTATACAGACCTCTCCAGCTCAATAACTTGTTTCTAGTGTTTGGCTCAGAGGTGCAGTTTTTTATATTTGTTTGAGAGGGTTTCTGTAAATTAACCAGATTCACTTTCATATATGAGGTTTTGCTCCAAGTTTATGTGGGTCTGTTTCTTCTAGCATGAAAACATTTGTTAAATACATGAATGTGGTCCATGCACCATGCAGAGACCAACTAATAAGTGAGATTGGTGCTTCCTGGTAATAATTTGCCATTATTTATCTGAAGATAAAGTAATGTCTAGACTTTGACTAGTTACCAACCTATGGCCTTGTCATTTCCACACAGTTTATTTTTCACAAGCTGGAGTCCTTATCCTCAACATTTCTCCAAAATGTGAGAAGTTCTGAAAAACATGAAGAAGAGTATAATGTTGGTCATGTTCCTAGGTTGTTGCCATATGCTTGTGAAACGTCTTGTAGAAAAGCTCAGGGTGGTGTGTATGTAATTTTGGGGTTTTCCCTTCATTATCCTGAGAGAAATACATTTCCTCAAAGTTCCTCTGTTTTTATTAGCATGTTTAATTTAATGGATACACCACAGACAACAGCAGGATATCCACCCTTAAAGTAACACCTGTTTCCTTCAGGAGAAACCTCCCATCAAGGGTTGCAAAATTCTGGTAACTTTCTCTAAATTCCCAGGTTTCCAGACATCCTGGTTGGAGGATTACGGATTTCCTGTTTTTTCTCACTTGATTCAGGGAATCTTTCAACCAGAATTTATGGGCATTTTGAAAGTTTGCATCCTTACCAATATCAATTTATATATTATAGGTGAGATTTGAGCACATTGTATGAACGGATGATGTACAGGTAACTGCCAAATTAAAGGAAACACCAACATAAAGTGTCTAAATAGGGCATTGGGGCGCCACGAGCCGCCAGAACAGCTTCAATGCGCCGTGGCATAGATTCTACAAGTGTCTGGAACTCTATTGGAGGGATGCGACACCATTCTTCCAAAATAAATTCCATAATTTGGTGTTTTGTTAACGGTGGTGGAAAACGCTGTCTCAAGCACCGCTCCAGAATCTCTGACAGTTGGGTTGAGATCTGGTGACTGAGACGGCTATGGCATATGGTTTACATCATTTTCATGCTCATCAAACCATTCAGTGACCACTCGTCACTCCCATCAGGATATAAATGATTCACCATAGGTTGAAGGCGATCACTCAGAAGATCTGTGTATTTATTGGTGTTTACCTTGCCCTCTAAGGGTTGAGCAGACCTAAACCATGCCAGGAAAAAGCAACCACACCATAACAGAGCCATCAGAACCCTAATTTACTTGTGTTTCCTTTATTTTGGCAGTTACCTGTATATTGATCACACTCGTTGTACTTAGTTGTAGGCTACTTTATATGTTGTATTTAGTGTATTCAGTATGTGATAGTATATCAGGAATAGATCATAGAAATAGGTTGTCTCCCATCTGAAAGGTTCTAGAGCAGTATATGTATCTCATCCTCATACTGATCCTGTTAATAGTCTCAAAAGTTAATAGTCCCCTGCCTGTCATCTTAGTATTACAGGTATCATGTATGAATGCCCATTGCATGCAGACTAAGTACTGACTGTACCCATTACCCAGAGAGTATGCCCTGGAGCAGATGGTGGCCTGGCCACTGTAGCCTACTGCCAGGCAGTGTAAACTGGAGATCAGATGGAGGAGCTCCAAGACACACACACTGACACACACATGGCCCAACAGGGTGCAACTCTCCTCTCCCTAGATATAGGTTACCGGTACATTCCCAGGGGTGAGTGGACACTTTAGTAAACATACCTACTCATTGATGCCAGTTAGACTTCCCTCTGGAAGTGGCGGTCAGGTTCCCAGATGTGTTTCCCCACAGGGATTTTAAAATTATTAAAAACTAGGTTGCTGTTACCTAATAGCCTTCCATGACAGTATACATGTGGATGGCCAATAACTTTTCTCAATCTAGGACTTGTCTGATTACATTTATAATAGTCCATGATCTAATCATCTCTGACGTCATCTGTTAAACTCTGCTCTTATTACACACTAATAATATTTTATAACAATTCTGGCCTGGTTAGTAGAGACTGCACTGTAACTACTCTGAAATGGTTGTCTTCCCTCATTACAGTTTGAAGTTGAACCATTTCAGAAATTCAGAGACTAATATTGACCAACCTGCTTTTGGAGGTATTACATACTTATGATACAGTGAATTTACGTAATTACTGGTCTCTTACAGTATGAGCACATGACTGCAAGGACCATTAATAAAAATGATTTTCCAATGTACGTTTCTTCAGTTGAAACTTTTATAGACACAGTGTGTCAAGACCCACCTTCCCATGATGCTCATCTCCAGTGAAATTGCAGATCCAGTGGTGGCGTCTCCACTTAGGTCGCTATCCATCACAGTCTACACTGTGGAAATCCTGTCCCCGACAAGACCATGTCCTTGGATAGTGATGACCCTACACTACTAATGTTAAGCTATCTTGTCTACAAATGATTTCGATGAGTTTTTAGCTCTTGTTGAATCTCCTTACTTACGCCCCATAAATGTGTCCTGTAAAAGTAACCACCAATAGGACCTCTGTAAGAACCCTTTTACACTGTCAGTTAGCTAGGATGAGTACACTCACTCCCTGTAGAAAATTATAAAGCCCACTGCTAAAGTGATGTTTCTTTACGACTGAGTGGCATCTAAGTAGTCCATTGGGGGGTGGGTTTTAGTCTTGCGTGGATTGGCTCTAAATATAATTCACTGTGAAGGGAGTGGCTTTGCTATCACATGCAGGGGGATTGGGAGGGGGGGGGGGGGGGGGGGGGGGGGGTGGAGTTGAAAGGTGAAGTGTTCCAAGTCCTGTGGCTGTGTGGGGGTGGGAGAGCATCAGAAAATGGAAAAAGGTGGGCCCTCCATTCTTTGTTATGGTTGTGATTGACTGGCACGTACTCCTGTGTCATTGTTGACAGGCTGACAGGAATCTCACAGTCTGTGGTGGTTGTAAATTCAACAGAGGACATCCTTCCAAACAGAAGCAGTTATATTTACTTTACCTAAAAGAGACAAAACCATGTTTGGTTAAACTGACCTCAGTTCATTGTAGGGATAAAATGTACCCCTTTAAGCATCAAATTGTATGGTCAGATAAGTCACATATGGTACATTGCAAATCTGCACTTTGAAAGGTACAGTATGAATGCTTACCATACGAAGAGTTTATTTCCAAAACGCTATATCCACAATTCTTTCACATTTGTGTTTTTTCATCAGAAAGGATTGCTTATGGGTACCTTCATGTGTGTGTAAAATATTATTGTTCTCCGATTTTAAATTCATACATTTTAGATGTGTATGAAAATGTTTTTTGTTTGTTGCTAAATGCTATATATCCATTGTTTAGCTTGAATATAATATTTGTATCCTGTATATTTGACTGTGATATGTGTTTGTCTCACCTAGCTAAATGTATGCACGCATGACTGTAAGTCGCTTTGGATAAAAGCGTCTGCTAAATGGCATATTATTATTATTATTTACCTAGCTATCTTAAGATGAATGCACCTACTGTAAGTCGCTCTGGTTAAGAGCATCTGCTGACTGACTAAAATGTCAAATATAAAAGGTTTACAAACAGATCTCATGTTACATTTTTTATATTGATGTCACAAATGTATAATTTGTACATTTCTTAATTAAAATGTAGTAATTTGTTACATTTGACCATGTAAAACCTAGCAGTACTTATTTCTCTGAGAGTGAGGCGATTATATAGCATTTTGCAAAAAAACATGACTATTTGTATTTTTGAAATGAAACCATCAAGTGATAGATGTTATACAAATATATGTCTGTCATTGAAACCCATGCCATGATTAGATAGTGAAAAAACACAAATTTCTTTCATAATTTCTTTAGACAATAAAAGCTAATTTAAAAACATTTCTGAAAGTGGATATATAGCGTTTCGGAATGAAGCTCTTCATATGACCAAAATGTTCTGTATTTATCCATTAACAGCTTGTTAAAAGCAAAGTGTCAGATAACAATAACTCCAGATAACATCTACATTTAGTGGAGCTATACATAGCGGACAGTGAAAATTATTGTGATTAAACATCTCCCTTCTGTCAGACCTCACACCTCATAGACTCTCTATATATGGTCTCTATTGACGTGCTTTAGAAAAAGAGAAATGCCCTCACACTTGCCCCTGCTAGGTCCAGCTGTCCCCAGGGTGAATATTTCTTAGGCTCAGAGGCTGACCCCTCACAAGGCTATGCTATTGATAACCTGGGACCATGCACTCTACCCGGCCTGTCTGAGTCTTTAATCACTGAGGCTGCCTCAGACATTTCCTCACAGGCGGTCTGACAGCTCACGAGAACTCGAGCCTACCTCTGTCTTTTAGAAAGCTTCCTGAGACTTCATTATTTGATTGTGTTTAAAAAATAAATCAATTAATTAAACCTTTTCCCCTTCAATTATTACTCAATGGCACTGTCAATTGACGACCATAACAGTAGATAATCTATAAACCATTAGAATTTAATGTTTTGGGATAGTTTTATATGTTAATGCTGCACTCCTGTGGCTTTCTGAAGTATTACATAAAGGTAACATCACCTTGTAACACAAGACCACATTCAAAATAATGGAAACACTTGAGTAAATGAGGGATACAAATTATATTGAAAGCAGGTGCTTCCACACGTGTGGTTCCTGAGTTTATTTACGCAATTGACATCCCATCATGCTTAGGGTCATGTATAAAAATGCACAGTCGCCCATTGTTTTGGCTACCATGGCTAGAAGAAGAGATCTCTGTGACTGAAAGGGAGGTCTCAAAGGAGCATAGGGGATTTAAAGGGTATGTGTGTGTGTGTGTCACCAGATCTCAACCCAATTGAACACTTATGGGAGATTCTGGAGCGGCTCCCGCGACAGCGTTTTCCACCACCATCAACTAAACACCAAATGATGGAATTTCTTGTGTAAGAATGGTGTCGCATTCCTCCAATAGAGTTCCAGACACTTGTAGAATCTATGCCAACTTTGCCAAGACGCATTGAAGCTGTTCTGGAGGCTCGTGGTGGCCCAATGCCCTATTAAGATGCTTCATGTTGGTGTTTCCTTTATTTTGACAGTTAACCTGTACATAAAGCATTCAGAATACACTCACAAGCATATAAGCATATAGTTGTGTTTACTACTAGCTCATTATAATATTTCCATGTGGCTATTGTTCATAATTAAACTCAAGCGTTTTATTAGGAATTTCACATTTTATTAGCTACAGCAATAAAACAGTGCAATACATTCAATATAAGAAGGCATGGTATACAACAAAAAAGGGACTAAAATACTATATATATTATGAAGTAAAAACTTTACAGTACCACAAATTCTAAACATTTATTATCCTTTCTCTCACACACACACACAATAGTTTTAAAGCAGCAATGCTGTATATACTAGTAAGAAAAACTATGAGATAGACATTTAAACATGTTCACTGATCATTTGGTTCTTCCATCGTAACTTCAACTTTGAAAGTTAAGCACATTTTCTCATTCATTATCCATTCTATATTACTCTATATGCTTGCATAATCAATCTCATTCATAGCATTCAAAGCACCATTCAGATGTCTTGAAGCACCCACTTGATATTTCACTATGAAAGTGAGGTAGTTATTAGTGGTGCTTTGAAATGGCCTCATAGTTATTAGTAATAGTCCAACACAACCACCAGATGTTGGTTAAATTAATCACTTGGACAGTTTTCTTGGGTTAATATTTACAATGGACAATTGAACCCATACCCAGGCTTTGTCCTAAGCACGCCGCATTATCAGTGATTAAATTGGCTGTCAGGAATTGAAAAATATTTATAAACCAATAGATGATGAGCTGGTTTAGTTTCTTGAATTTGCAGAGCATACCGAAGCTGGCACATTGAATTCAGCTGAATTTGAGGCATTGCAAGGTAAGGGCATGTTAATAAATCAGTTTACCATACTTTTCTTCATACTTTTCTTCAGTCTCCTCTTCTGTCGAGCTTGTGTCTATATCCAAATTGAAATTGCCCTATTACTCATATCCATTTGAAGTATAATTTCAACAAGTATCGAAAAAGTGTCCACACATCATGGTGCAGTAAGCAGATTAATGAGTGTTGTTAAGGCCCTTACCTTGAGCTTTGAGCATGTTATGTGCCCAATTACAGTTATACTGCCCTGGTCCGTTTAGTTTGTTCTAGTAAGAGCAGAGCTTTTGGGTGAGCCATGCTCCCATGGTTGAGTCTCCAGCATTGCTTAAGTGCCTACTGCAAGCCTTCCCTGCCAGGAATACCACCTCTGCGATGTTGAGCAAGATACAGATCCCTGACACAGCCAGCATGAACACAGTGAAGACGGTCTTCTCTGTGGGCCTGGACACAAAGCAGTCCACCGTGTTGGGGCAGGGGTACGAGTCACACTTGACTAGCCGGATCATCTTATAGCCGGGGTAGATCATGTAGAAGAGATACATGAAGGTCACTTCAAAGATGATGCGGAAGAACAGGCTGATGATATATGTCCACCAGAGGGCACCTGTGATCTTCATCTTCTGGGTCTTGATCTGCTCCAGGTCCTTGGGGCTGGCCCGGCCAGACAGTTTATAGAGCTTCTTGTCGATGTGTCGGCGATGGGCCACATGCATGGCCACCAGCAGGGCCGGGGTGGACACCAAGATGAGCTGCAGGGCCCACAGACGGATATGTGAGATGGGGAAGAAGTGGTCATAACAGACGCTGTTGCAGCCAGGCTGCTGGGTATTACAGGTAAAGCCAGACTTCTCGTCGCCCCACACACTCTCTGCTGCAACCACCAGGACCAGGATACGGAAGATGAAGAGGACAGACAGCCAGATACGACCGATGCCGGTGGAGTGTCTGTTTACACCGCTGATGACGGCATAAAAGGACGCCCAGTTCATTTTCGATTCCAGGTCTGAAAAACAAGGATGGCATTAAAATTATTTAATTGTAGAAGCTATGAGGTCAACATTGTTGATCATTTGTTGATAATTTGGCATAAAAAAAGTTGCCTTACATACGTTAATTATTTCCACAAGATTTCTTTATACAAATACTAATTGCACGGTTTGTTACTAAAAACACAGATCTCACATAACCCGCTTCACCAGTCAACACCACTGTCCGACCAGCACTGGTCAGCGACTGAGATATTGGGACATCTCAATAAAGCCATCCATTCTTTAAAAGCAGAATCCCCCAAGACTAATTCCATATTCTTCAAATCCAACAGCAACTAAGCTCTCTCCAGCTTGCTATATTTCAGATCTATTTAATTCCATTCCAGTCATTCCTGCCATGCCAGAAGAAGAGACTTGGAGAGGTGGAGAGGTTACCAAGCTCAACAGGAGGTGTAAGAGGCATAGGCGGCACCCAGGGTGGAGGACAACGTTGACCCGCCGGTGTAGCGTGGACATTGATGTGCGTCCAGTGGAAAACCAAGCCTCTCTACCAGCCCTGACGTTAGTGTGCGGCTTAAGAGCGCAAGTCTTTGGTCTGGCACAACACACCATGTGAGCTTTTTTCCCAAAGTCACTGACAAGGGTGTATCTGCCCCCATGTGACCAGTGTGCCATGTTGACACTGGCACCAACCTGCATGGTATATATGTTGCCTTCCCACAGCCAAACTGACCACAGACTGTGGTCATAGTGGGGACTTTCATTAAATGTTCTATAATATATGAAGTGCCATAACAAAAACTATGATATGTCAATGCAAATTGTGTAGTAACAGAGTTCGGGTCTATTTCACTTTAACTCAAATCAATATATAAATGAGAAAACACCAATATTTCAAATAATTCCCTATTGAAATATGATACATCTTAGAGTAGAACATATAAATGTATCCATGGAAGGATTAACAAAATATTTATGACAGACCGTTCTTGATGAAAAGAGAAATGAAAAGTAAGAGAATATTAGAGGAATGGGATTCCTGAACTTGAGATGGAAAATTGAATGGCTAAATTATGATTTCCAAAATAAAAACTTTACTTAAAGTTATTATTCAAGATTTGCATGTTTTTTTATTCTCACAGTGTGCACCCCTGATTTTCTAAGATACACTATATATACAAAGGTATGTGGACACCCCTTCAAATTAGTGGATTCGGCTATTTCAGCCACACCCATTGCTGACAGGTGTATAAAACTGAGCACACAGCCATGCAATCTACATAGACAAACATTGGCAGTAGAATGGCCTTACTGAAGAGCTCAGTGACTTTCAACGTGGCCCCGTCATAGGATGCCACCTTTCCAACAAGTCAGTTCGTCAAATTCCTGCCCTGCTAGAGCTGCCCCGGTCAACTGTTAGTGTTGTTATTGTGAAGTGGAAACGTCAAGGAGCAACAATGGCTCAGCCGCGAAGTGGTAGGCCACACAAGCTCACAGAACGGGACCGCCGAGTACTGAAGTATGTAGTGCGTAAAAATTGTCTGTCTTCAGGTGCAACACTCACTAGCGAGTTCCAAACTTCCTCTGGAAGCAACGTCAGCACAATAACTGTTCGTCAGGAGCTTCATGAAATGGGTTTCCATGGCCGAGCAGCCGCACACAAGCCTAAGATCACCATGCGTAATGACAAGCGTTGGCTGGAGTGGTGTAAAGCTCGCTGCCATTGGACTCTGGAGCAGTGGAAACGTGTTCTCTGGAGTGATGAATAACGCTTCACCATCTGGCAGTTCAACGGACAAATCTGGGTTTGGCAGATGCCAGGAGAACGCCACCTGCCCGAATGCATAGTGCCAACTGTAAAGTTTGGTGGAGGAAGAATAATGGTCTGGGAAATCTTAACGCTACAGCATACAATGACATTCTAGATCATTCTGTGCTTCCAACTTTGTGGCAACCGTTTGGGGAAGGCCCTTTTCTGTTTCAGCATGTCAATGCCCCCGTGCACAAAGCGAGGTCCATACAGAAATGGTTTGTCGAGATCGGTGTGGAAGAACTTGACTGGCGTGTACAGAGCCCTGACCTCAACCCCATCGAACACCTTTGGGATGAATTGGAATGCCGACTGCGAGCCAGGCCTAATCGCCCAACATCAGTGCCCGACCTCACTAATGCTCTTGTAGCTAAATGGGAGCAAGTCCCCGCAGTAATGTTCCAACATCTAGTGGAAAGCCTTCCCAGAAGAGTGGAGGCTGTTATAGCAGCAAAGGGAGGACCAACTCCATATTAGTGCCCATGATTTTGGAATGAGATGTTCAAGCAGGTGTCCACATACTTTTGGTCATGTAGTGTATTTTACAAGCAATCTATTGTGTGGCTGTTACTGGTTATGTAAGAATAATTAATTAAGAAAAATTAAATAGAACCCAAAAGGTGCTTTTAAATGATGTTAATACATCAAATACATATTTTTAAGGATCGTTTTAGATGATTAGAAACCTATTCACCAACATGTAAATCATGACAACAAAAGGAAAATAAAAACGTTTTTGTATACTTAATTTAGATTTCACAGTTGTAACAAATTATTAAATTCATAAAATTACCTTCAGTAGAATTAGTGCACAAACACACCCAGAAATAACATCAGTATAGATAGATTTTTTTTGTCCATTAGTGACTATGTGAGCCAAAACACCATGAGTTTGCATTGCTAATGATTTCTCTCACACTAGCCACTGCCCTGCACAGTCAGAGTCATATGCTCTTGTGTGAATAATTTACATACAATAGCTGCTTTTATTGGATCCAACAAGCCCCTTTAGAATTCGCCTACCCTCAGCAAAGGAAAGAATCTGTGTGGACACAAAGAAGCCTGTCCTATCTATTGTGAACTGTGCTGCAAGGGAAGTGGAGGCTCCTTTTGACGCAATACGGAGTAAAAAGTACAAAACCCAAACAAAGAAAGTCTAACCACATGCAGAGGGAGTAAATCTTATAGATAACAGTTGAGAAATAAATGCTTGCTGTGTGCGTCACAGTGTGTGTGGTATTTCCAAAGACATTCTAACCTTTCCTTGTATACCCACCTGCTGTCAAGAGGTTCAGAGGAATACTCTTAAATAATCTTAAACAAGCCTCAGACAGATCCACATCTAGAGGGAGCTAGGTCCACTGATGACACACTAGCCTTCTTTATACCTGCCGCTGCTATCATGCGTTCACAGGCACTTTCCTCACTGCACTAAAAACTGCTATGGTGAAACCCTTTCTGAAGAAAGTAATCTAGATTCTTCAGCTCTTAGCAATTTTCAGCCAATCTCCAACCTTCCATTCTTAAGCAAAATTCTGGAGAAATTGGTTTTCAAACAACTAAATTATTTTTTAAGTGCCAACTGTATTTTTAAACAATTCCTTAGTTAAAGTGGTAAATTATCTTAGAGCCAACACAGATGCCAAACAGCTCTCTGTCCTTGTATTCTTGGATTTAAGTGCTGCATTCGACACTGTTGACCACAATGTCCCTCTGGACAGACTGGAGAAGTGGGTTGGCCTCTCCGGTCCAGTTCTAAATTGGTTTAGGACCTATTTAACCGGTCAAGAGTTTTTTTGTCACCCTTGGTGAACATAACTCAGAGAAAATAGATATCACATGTGGAGTTCCACAAGGTTCGATTTTGGGTCCGGTACTGTTCAGTTTATATATGTTACCCTTTGGCAGCGTTATCAGAAAGCACGGCATTGATTTTCACTGTTATGCAGACGATAAACAACTTTACATTTCTGTGTCACCAGGGGATTTTAGCTCCACAGATAATAATAATAATATGATATTAATAAATAATAATATGATATGCCATTTAGCAGACGCTTTTATCCAAAGCAACTTACAGTCATGTGTGCATACATTTTTACGTATGGGTGGTCCCGGGGAGCGAACCCACTACCCTGGCGTTACAAGCGCCATGCTCTACCAATTGAGCTACAGAGGACCACCCATTATTAGACTGTATTAGTTATTTAAATACTTGGATGGCTCACAACTTCCTCCAGCTAAATCAAGACAAGACCGAGGTACTTATTGTTGGAGCCAAAGCACAGAGAGAGAATCTGGCCGCACATTTTAATTCACGGGCAATAAAGTTAAAACACCAGGTAAAAAACCTAGGTGTCATTTTTGATTCTGAACTCAATTTTGAATCACACATTAGGAATGTGACCAAAATAGTTTTTTACCACCTGGGGAACATTGCCAAGGTGCGACCGTTTCTATCTCAGGCTGATACAGAGAGACTCATCCATGCTTTTATTACAAGTAGGCTTGACTACTGTAATGCTCTCCTGTCTGGTCTACCCAAGAAAGCCATTGGTCAACTGCAAAACATACAGAATGCTGCAGCAAAGGTACTGACCAAGACCAGACGGAAAGCACACATAAAAAATATTTTGCATCTTCAAAGTGGTAGGCATGTTGTGTAAATCAAATGATACAAACCCCAAAAAATCCATTTTAATTCCAGTTTGTAAGGCAACAAAATAGGAAAAATGCCAAGGGGGGTGAATACTTTCGCAAGCCACTGTACATATCAGACATTTTTGAGTTATGTACCCAGTAGGTCCCTCAGGTCCTCGGTCACTGGCCTTTTAACTATCCCAAAGCCTAGGACCAAGAGGCATGGAGAGGCAGCCTTTAGTTACTATGCCCCGAGCCTCTGGAATAGCCTGCCAGAGAACCTGAGGGGGGCCGAAACTCTGATTTTAAAAAACACCTTTTTGGCTTTGCTTTTCCTTAGGGTGCTTTTTAGTCTTTCAGTTTTTATTGTTATCCTTTTGTTTTTTATCCTCTTATGTTTGTTGTGTAGTAAATATTTCAGTTTTTATTGTCATAGTTTTATATTGATGTTTTTTTTCCTGTGAAGTGCATTGCTCTGAAGTGCATTGTGTTGCATTCATGTCTGAAATGTGCTATATAAATAAAGCTTCATTTTATTTTATTTGAATTTGTCCTGCTCTTGTCCACATTTTGATTGTGCCCACATTTTGTAAAATATGTCTATACATGGCATTCAAATGTGTCTTATATGTCAACTGTTTCCGCATTGTGCCCACATTTCCTCATCCCTCCCTATACGCAAATTATTTGACAGCTATTCTTTCAAAAACTTTTTTTTGGGACACATATTGATGCCATAAGTCTATGGAGCCACCTATCAAATATTTTAGAGGGCAGCATAATGATGATTTCAATGGTTTCACTGTCCAGTTCCGTCTCAATCAACTGTATTTATAAAGCCCTTTTTACATCAGCAGTTGTGCTTATACAGAAACCCAGCCTAAAACCCCAAAGAGACAGCAATGCAGATGTAGAAGAACAGTGGAAAAACTATCTAGAAAGGCAGGAACCTAGGAAGAAACCTAGAGAGGAGCCAGGCTCTGAGGGGTAGCCAGTCCTCTTCTGGCTGTGCCAGGTGGACATTATAAGAGTACATGGCCATTAAGGCCAGATCGTTGTTCAAACGTTCATAGATGACCAGCAGGGTCAAATAATAATCACAGAGGGTGCAACAGGTCAGCACCTCAGGAGTAAACGTCAGTTGGCTTTTCATAGCCGAGCATTCAGAGGTAGAGACAGCAGGTGTGGGAGAGAGAGTCTACACTTGTAAAATTCCAAACATAATGTGTGCCGGTCTACCTCCGAAGGTAGTCAGGAAGATCTGATCACAATCAGACCATAATGCGTCTTTTAATCATCCACACCTGTCTGGAAATGTGGGCACAATCAGAATGTGGACAAGATCAGGACAAAGGATGCATGTTAGAACCAGGTATAAACGGGGCTACTGACTAAGGTTAAAAATCACCACACATTAAGAGCGACATGAAGCTAGAACTTGGTGGCCCAGAATTGAGGTGGTGTACTGGGTATAATTTCACTTTAGCACAGTTGTCCAATGGGTAGCAAATAAAGAAACATTTTAGTGAGCATGTGCAATACATTGATTTAATTGGCTGGGAAACGGAAATACATTTTGAGATCACAATTGATGCTTTCACCAAAAGACACATATCAAGTTACATGGGAGCAATATTATACACTCTGGATAAGTGTGTCTGCTAAATAACTAAAATGTTAATGTGAAAATGAATATACGACCAAATACTACACTTTTGAATACTTTAATACACTAAGTGAATCTGTCAAAATACTTATGACTTCTTCTAATTAATTTCTAAACAGTAAAACAGATATGTATGAAAATACCTGAAAGAAAAAGGTGACATTCTGTACTGTCACCTCATATGAAACAATTATTGTCAAATCCAAAATGCTGGAGTATACAGCCACATTTTAGGGGACTGTATAAGCACACAAGCTACATTTTCCATCACCAAGCACATGAAGTGTGGATGACGACAGCAATTTTTTGTACCTGTAGAGCGTTACCCCCTCTGTAGGGCTTTTCACAACAGGGTCTTTAAGTACTGTTGGATACTCTCAGAAAATATGAATCTACTTGGGAGCAGCTGTTAAAACAATTTATCATCAAATTCACTTCACTAATCTTCTCAAGCATACCACTGCGCCGTCTCGACGGACAGGGCCTTGGTGGCAATACTTGGTTGTGTATTCGTACGGAGCCTGCAGATAATATTAATGCTTGCCAATAAATAATGTTCCTCTGATACGGCTACAATGAAAGCCGTGATTTGCAGCATCAGAATAAACAGACACTTATAAACAGATTCTGTCTGGGATTGTATAGACCTCCCTTTTCCTCAAGGTCATCTTTCTATATACAGCAGCAACAACAACAAATCTTCAGAGAGACAGAGTAGGGACAGACCAGGTTTGGCACTGTTGCTGTTGCTGTGTTTGATGGTTGTCAGCCCATGTTTTTACGGTTCCCATAGCCTCTCCGATGCGTATCCTTCCAGTTGTCCCAGTCTCTAGCTTTCTGCAAGGCCTCCTCGTCATCGTTTTCAACCCGCTTCTCTTTCTCTTCTTGTTCTCGCTCTTCTGCATCAAAGTCCTCTGAAAGGGAGACAAATTGTATTTGGTGAATGAGACAGGGTAAAAAAACAAACATGGTTCATGACCATTTGAAAACAATTGATGTACAGTTAACTGTAAATAGAACACTATTAGGAACATCTCTGTTAACCCTACCAGCGCTGCGTGGGATCCCCTGGTCTGGCAGGGCATTTTTCTTCCTGTGCTGTTCATACCAGTCATCCACTGACATAGTAGGTAGGCTGGGATAGCCTGCCCCAAACACTCTGAGATGAAAAATTACACATTAAAGGGATATTTCGTTTTTTAGCATGTTAGACCTCATTTTCCACTTACTTTTAGTGTTGAAGCATCAACCAGACAGTTGTTTTGGTTAAAGTTCCATTCCTAAGATTTCTTTGGCTGGCTTAGTTGCTTGCATGAGCCATATAGTGGTAGTGGCCAGACTCACCAAAAAAACATGCTTCAAAACGTCCCCACAAGAAAATCTACAGCTATCTCATGTCTTTGTGGGCTATACACGCATGTCAATATCAAAACACTTAGCTATTTCCACTATTACGAGCAATGTGTATAACTCAAACTCTGTTTACTTCCTGTTTTGCCCTTGTCTTGGAACTAATTTCTACATCCACACACTGCTAGTCTCGCACTGTATGTGTAGCCACGCGCTCTGTTGACAAGAGAGATATGACATGCCTACTCCGGAGCGTCAGACTTGTTGCTCACATGAGCAGAACAACACTGGCAACGTACTTCGGCTGAAGTAGCTAGTCCGGATGTTTGCAGAAAAAAACCAATATGTAACTTTTCTACAAGCCCTGAAAACATAATGGTCTTTAGAATTTTATGTGGAGACGTTTTGAAGCACGAGTCTGGCCACTACCACTATATGGCTCAAGCAAGCAAATAATCCAGCCAAATAAATTTCCAAAATTTAACTTTGACCAAAAAAACTGTCTGGATGATGCTCTAAAACTAAAAGTAAGTGGAAAATGAGGTCTAACATGCTAAAAAATGAAATATCCCTTTAAATTATAAATGAATCAACTATTTACTTCATGTGATATAATAAGCAAGTAGCTATGTACTCTTGATAAGGGAGGTTGGACAGAGTACTTATTTTGTGAGCAGGAAAACAGCAATTAGCAGAATGAGAAAATAAATGATACGTTTGAGCAGGTGCCTACCGGGCCTGAACAGCATCTTTGGTGAGAATGAAGGGTTTCATGGGAGGCCTTTTAGAGTGTGATGGCTCTGCTGAACTCTGCACATGGAAAAGATACAGAGCATAAGAAAACCACACTCTTTCAATGAGTCACTGGTGAATTAATGGCATTAGTTACATCTTCAAATCCAGGTACCTGTTTTAGAACATCCATCCTGGTCAAAATCTCAATTTCCTGGTCAATGCTCTCGATCTCCTCCAGGGATACAGCAATCCATTTCCTCACATTGAGGAGGTAGAAGTCTCTGACTATCTCGTCATCTGCCTGCCCACGGTCCACTGCTGCCTTAATCTCTGATAGCTTGGCCTCTGTGTCCTTCCTCTGTTTGTATCTGCAGAGTATAGCATAATAAATAAGAGAGATCTTTAATTTATTAAATAGCTGAGGGACATAACATATTTTAAGAGGTGCGTGACAGGTACTAGACCTTCAAGCATAGGTAGGTTGGCCTAAATTGTACTTGTGCAGTGCTCAATCAAAACGATTATTGTTCTGATTGTCAAAATTGTAATTGAAATGCAGATGTTTAATATACCTTTCTATCTTTGCCGCTCTAACTGTCGCCATCGCAATCAAGTCCGGAGGTTTGGGGGGCCCGTTTGCAGATTCTTCTTCTGGTATGTCAGCAGAGTTTGCAATGGTTTTGGGTAGATCAAACTTCGATATGTTATACTCCTTACATCTTTTCAAGAAGTCCAAAAAGTAACATCTAGCTATCTGAACTTCATCTAATCGTTTTGCCAGGTTCACTTGCTTCATAGTTAGAGCCCCCAGGAGGGCAGGCAACATCAGATACTTCAGATCTTTGGTTGCTACCTCCTCCAAATCCTCATTTCGGCTGAAAAACAAACATAAATAGGATTAACCATGATGATCATAACTATCCATTAAAACTAGCTTATGATGTGGAGAAACATTGCAAAGAACATGTTGATCCTTGAACTGACGGTCCACCTTAAAATGTGTTTCCTGAGTGAGTATGGACACTTTCCTGATACACACATTTGAACGCACTGGACTGGACATGCAGCACCACTTTCATTGCATGGCCATGGCTTAGTTTAGCTGACGTTAGGTTGCTAGCTTGTTTACGATTTAGCCTAGTAAAGTAGCTAGCTAGCTAAACTCTCAAGTAACTTTACGGTGGAATCTGTTTGTTATCTAGCTATTTGATACCGGTTAGTAACTAGCTCGCTACCTGGGAATCTGGCTAGTCGTCATTGCTAGAGAAGCAGTCTGTATAGTTTGCTAGCTGCTAGCTAACGTTTGGTAGCGCTAACGTCACCTGAACAAGTCGAGTTGGGCAACCATTCGCGTTGCCTCTTCCAGTTGCGTTATCCCACGCTTGATTTTAACCTGGATATGGGTGGCTGCAATGGGATCATTAGTGGTGTCTACCTCATCATATAGTTTCCATCCTCGATCTAATAAATCAGATAGTTTAAGCGGTTCTTCTGACTGCATTAGTGACAGCCTAGTGCTTTCTGCGGCAGCCATTTTGACAATGTTTTCGATGTAATGACTACTATCGGCTTCCGTATTAATTTCTTCTTCTTCTTCTTCTTTTTTCTTCGATGAGGTTTAACGGCGGTTGGCATCCAATTTCTTGCATTACCGCCACATACTAGACTGGTGTACAACTCCCTTATATTTAGAAAAATAAATTAAAATAAAGAAATATCCTAGCATCTAACATTACACTCACAAATTCAAAATTATTATTAATAATTAACACCACCCCACTTCACTATTTAAATATATTCATTCCTACCTCATGCCCTCAACCTGAAATGATGGAACATCACCACTTAACACTCCCTGTAACTCTTCTGATGTCAAGTCTCGCACACCCAAATACCTCTCTGCAGCTGCCACCACAACCTCAATTTTCTTAGACTTACGTTCCATCCCTGCAGTACAATGAAAAACCATTGCTATAAATGCTAAAAATCGAATCTTACTGAAACATATATCACTTGTTGTCCTATCCCTCTGCATTGGTACATCTCTACTACTCTCACCACTCCTCCCCCTTGACCCATCCTAACATTTTAAAAATCATTTTAGTCATTTAGCAGACGCTTTTATCCAGAGCGACTTACAGTTAGTGGGTGCATACATTTTCATACTGGCCCCCCGTGGGAAACAAACCCACAACCCTGGCGTTGCAAGCGCCATGCTCTACCAACTGAGCTACAGTCCTTTCTTCACTGCCTCAGCATATGACAACTTCTTCACTACTCTTACCCTGGAAATCTCAACCTGCCTCTCTCGCACAGGACATTTCTGATCCCCAGCCCCATGGGCACCCCTAAAATTAGCACATACCACTACTTTCCCCAATGCTACACATTCCTTTGTCTCATGCCCTTCTGCACACTTCTCACACCTTGGAACCTCCCTCCTACACACTGCTGCCACATGCCCATAAGTTTGACACCTGTAACATCATAATGTATTCGGCACATAAGCTCGTACAGGATAATTTATATACCCTAACTTCACTTTATCAGGCAAAGACTCAACTTCAAAACTCAAAAGAACAGACAATGACTCCTCTGTTTCCCCACTCTCGCCCCCCTGTTTGTCGCACCAAACGACGAGCATCACACACACCGGGAATCTTCCCCTTCAGTTGGTGAACTTTTACATTTACTGCTACCCCAGTAATCACTCCTTTCAATGGCAACCTTTTCTTGAGAGCGAAACAATTCACCATTCTTTCCCCCATTTGTCTAAACCTGAGCGCCTTCTCCCTCTGACCAACAGAAACACAAACAATTATCACTAGACCACTTCTGGTTACCCTCACCAATTCCACTTTACCCAACGCTCTTTTCATCCATCTTGAAACCACAAATGGATCAGCCAAAAGGCAAGGCTCCACTTTTTCCAAAAACTTCACTCCTACTGTCACAGACTCATCTTCATCCTGACCCTCTGTGCAATCCTCGGGCTCCGAGTACTTCACCACACCTTCCACCTCCGATACTTCACCCTCATTCACTTCCATTTCTCCTCCTATATTCAGCTCACTTTGCTTACATTTCCTACCATTCTTCTTGAACAAACCTTCTCCATTTTCTCCGCCATTTTTAACAGACTCAAGCTCACAGTCTTCCTCCCTCTCTCTCTTAGACCTCCTCTGCCTCTCTTTTTCACTCCATTCCTCCTCCGTCATCCAGGTATACGTTTAATTATGATAATACTGCACTTCTCCTGACATACGTCTGTTTCTTGCTTTCTCAAGGGACTCCATTTACCTTCCTACTCTCCCTTTCTACACTTATTCATAGCACTTTCAATAAAATATGAGCAATAAACTTCGGTCCTTCTTCGCTACCTGGGCGTCCTTTACTTGAGCTCTCCGCACCAAACTCACCCCGCAAACTCCTCTGGGTTTCCGTATTCATTCTACGCTCACTTCCTTTATGAGCGTAGAGAAGTTTACTGTGTTTGCAATGGTTGGCGCTGTTTTCACAAATATCCTCCTGAGACCCAGCAATTATTATTATTATTATTATTATTATCATTATTATTATTATTATTATATATTTAATTATTATTATTATTATTTATTTATTTTTGTCCTCTAATGGACATAAATCGTTTTTGGTCCGTATCTCTAAGGATTTTAGAATGTAAATCTTGGTGGGGCAAACTCAATTTATTTAAATGTTTATGCATGCCAGCAAAGCCACTACACAACACAAACAATACATGAATTGCACTTTAATAGTGACAAACGGTGCCCACAAACTCTTAGGGCCTACATAAAGCTGTCCTAACAACAGAGCTTTCTTTTCAGCACCATGGAGTGAATCCTTACCACCGCTACACCTGGCTATAAGCGGAGCCTTGTCTGGCAGCGAAACAGTTCATTCAGCCTCATTTAAAAAACATAGCTGATATGGCTGACTTGCTTAAACAAATGTGGTTCCTATTGACAATTGAGATGTACAAACTATGGCATAAGGGAACGTTGAGCTGATAAGAGGCAATCCGTAATTTCGATTAAGACATGAATGAGGTCTGATTTAATTATTACTGAAACAGGATCCAAGTGGTAAATATACAGATCCAGTCCATAAGAAAAAATTTATAATTGGAGGCCTCTTACACTTCAGTGTTATGATGTAAAAATTCTAGCAAAATGCATAGCGCATAAAATTAAAAAGTTATTGTCGGATATTATTCATCCTAATCAGGCAGGTTTTTTACATGGACTATACATTGGAGATAATATGACAAGTACTGGAAACAATAGAACACTATGAAAAATCTGGGAAACCAGGCCTGGTATTCATAGCTGACTTTGAAAAGGCTTTTGATAAAGTACGACTGGAGTTTATATATAAATGCCTGGAATATTTCAATTTTGGAGAATCTCTTATAAAAGGGGTTAAAGGTATGTATAGTAACCCTAGGTGTATAATAGTAAATAATGGCTACTTCTCAGAAATTGTTAAACTGTCAAGAGGAGTAAAACAAGGTTGTCCACTATCGGCATATCTATTTATTATTGCCATCGAAATGTTAGCTGTTAAAATCAGATCCAACAATAATATCAAAGGGTTACAGATCCAGGGCTTAAAAACAAAGGTGTCATTGTACGCTGATTATTCATGTTTTCTTTTAAATCCACAATTTGGATCCCTCCACAGCCTCATAGAGGATCTAGATACTTTTTGTAACCTCTCTGTATTACAACCGAGTTATGATAAGTGTACTATATTGCGTATTGGATCACAAAAAAATACAACTTTTACATTACCATGTAGTTTACCAATAAAATGGTCTGACGGTGATGTGGACATACTCGGTATACATATCCCGAAAGAAAGAAATGATCTCACTCCAATTAATTTTAATAGAAAGTTAGCAAAAATAGATAAGATCTTGCTACCATGGAAAGGAACATACCTGTCTATTTGTGGAAGAATCACCCTGATTAATGAACTCTTTAGTCATATCCCAGTTTACCTATTTGCTTATGGTCTTGCCTACACCTAGCGACCTGTTTTATTAAATTATATGAGCAAAACATATTCCATTTTATTTGGAATGGCAAGCCAGACAAAATTAAAAGGGCCTATTTATATAATGAATATTAATTTGGAGGGCAGAAATTATTAAATATTAAAGTAAATTATTAAATATTAAAGCATTAAACCTCTCACTAAAGGCGTCAGTCATACAAAAGTTATACTTAAATCCGAACTGGTTCTCTAGTAGATTAGTAAGAATGTCTCATCCCATGTTCAAGAATGGCCTTTTCCCCTTTATTCACATTACAACCTCTCACTTTCGGTTATTTGAAAATGAAATAATCTCCAGAATATCACTAAACAAGCCATATAAAGTTGGTTGCAATTTCAGTTTAATCCACCAGAAAAGACAGAACAAATAATACAACAAATGTTGTGGTTAAACTAAAATATACTAATTGATTTAAAAAAACATAATTTTTCGATAACATAAAAAAAAAGGTATAATCTTTGTAAATGATATCATAAATAGGACTGGTGGAGTTATGTCACACATGCAGCTAACAAAAATATATGGAAATGTCTGCTTTACCAAAAATTACAACCAACTAATTGCAGCTTTACCGCAAAAATGGAAGAGGCAAGTGGAAGGGGGAAAAAGTAAGGAACTTGTCTGTCGGCTCTACATTAAAGACCAAAATTGGTTAAAGAAAATTGTGATAAATAAAAAAGTATACCAGTTTAATTTAAGGACCAACAAATTGACAGCTGTGCCATATAGATGGCAAAATAGTTGGGAAGAGATTTTTGATGTACCGATTCCATGGCACATGGTTTATGAACTGATATGCAAAATTACCCGGATTCAAAACTTTAGATTCTTCAAAGTAGCCAGCCTTTGCCTTGATGACAGCTTTGCACACTCTTGGCATTCTCTCAACCAGCTTCACCTGGAATGCTTTTCCAACAGTCTTGAAGGAGTTCCCACATATGCTGAGCACTTGTTGGCTGCTTTTCCTTCACTCGCGGTCCAACTCATCCCAAACCATCTCAATTGGGTTGAGGTCGGGTGATTGTGGAGGCCTGGTCATCTGATGCAGCACTCCATCACTCTCCTTGGTCAAATAGCCCTTGCACAGCCTGGAGGTGTGTTTTGGGTCATTGTACTGTTGAAAAACAAATGATAGTCCCACTAAGCGCAAACCAGATGGGATGGCGTATTGCTGCAAAGCATTGACCTGCATTTTGGAGCTGCCTTACTCAAGAAAGCAAAAAAGAGACCATGTTTGTATGCGACTTTATTAACTCAAGACATTTATTTATTTGCAAACTGATTTGTGACACGTATTAATGCCAAAATAATATGCAAAACAGGCAACAACAACAACAAATATTTTTTAAATATATATTTTGTTTAGCTAAACAGGTGGGGGCAAAACCCCACCTGCCACTATGTTGGGTCCTGTTGTACCTTTGAGAGGACATTCTGGGCTTTTCAATGATATCACG